GTGCGTGTGTGTGTGTGTGTGTGTGTGTGTGTGTGTGTGTGTGTGTGTGTGTGTGTGTGTGTGTGTGTGTGTGTGTGTGTGTGTGTGTGTGTGTGTGTGTGTGTGTGTGTGTGTGTCCCCACCTCACCCTTCCCACACTTTGATTCGCCCACACCTCACCCACACACACGCCCCCCACCCAGCTACCCACCCAGCCACACACCCACCCACGCCCACCCACCGCCTCACCCCTCACCTTTCCCACGCTGGGATTCGCCCACACCTCTCCCACCCACCCACACCCACACCCACCCACGCCCACCCGCCCCCCACCTCACCCATCCCCCACGCCCACGCCCTCGGATGCGCCCACCTGCAGGGGCCCACTGAGCGCCAAGAGCGCCGCCTCCGGCAGCTCCACTGCCTCCACCGCCGCAGCTCGGAGCGCGGAGGTCTGGCGCGAAGCCCAGAGAGCTGAAGCCCAGAGGAACAGACAAGCCCTCCCTTCCACCCATAGCATTGCCTGGATCACTTTCCTCTTGTCGGGACGGAACCCCTGTGAGGCGCTATGTCCTTGGGAGTGAGGGTATCAAACAACGACATAGTGCAGATAGAAGCAAGGCATGAGAAGAGAGGAAAAGATCAAGAAGCAACAGAACAATCATCCAACCCAAAGAAGGCGGCCGCAAAATACACCCGAAGTGCGGTATTATAGCCAAAAAAACGCAGAAGCACGCGCGCAGCTCACCACGACGACCCTGGTTGATGAATTATAGAAAAGAAAATTCGGCGCCTCGGTCGCCCCCGCATTCATGCGTGCATCACCAAACGAGTTTTTGGAGCGCATGTTACTAGGAATCCCAGACTGTGAGGGGATGCTCGGTTTTGTATGGCAGCCGAGCCAATCATATCTCCTTTGCATTGGGGGGCAAGCTTCGCACCTGCCTTAGCTTGCTCGGCCTGTATGTGTCAAAACTCAGGACCCCGTAATTAAGGACAAAGCATGTTGTTTGACGAACAGATTCCCCCCCCCCCCATTACCCTACCCGGTACAAAAAACAACAAAAGGAAAGGACCCTCTCCCCCACCTGGAGCTGCATCACCCGATGGTTGGCTCCGTCCGCGACGAAGATTTCTCCAGCCGAGGCCGCCAGCGCATTGCAGGAGCCCAGGCCGCTGCTGCCCAGCTGCGGCAAGCCACCAAAGCCTTACACCCGAAGGATCTGGGGGACGGGTCACTGATCACGTTTTGTCAAGTTGGTACCTCCTTAAAACCGAAAAAAAGCCCCAGGAGAAACTGCAGGCTGCATATTTTGGGGCTCCGGACCTTCTGGGCTTCTGTCAATGAAACAAGGCAATGGGACGCCACTTGTTTCGGGGTGGCAGATGGAGGGCCGGGGGTTGGGGTGGGGGGGGACAGGGAATCCCCCGCATCCAGAGCTTCATCGAGGCACGGCCCATCAAGCGAATTTCGGACGCCAGCTCCAGCCAAAGGATCCTCAGGCAGCGAAACGCAAATCGCAGACCTAGAATTCGCAAACTTGTTCCACGACTTCTGTTTTCTGTCACTGGGTCTAAATCGCCCTTGAATGTTCAACACCACGAAAGCACGGAAGAAGGAGCCGTTCAAAAACGAAGCTCGGCTGAACAGAAGGCGAAGGAGGTTAGGGATCAAGGGGCCAAGAGAAACTTGCGACCCAGAAGAATTGCCCCTTGCCTTCTCAAACAAATGGGGACCTGGGTGGACATGAAAAGCCCCCGCGCCTTCTGAAAATCTAGGTCCTGGAATCCCTCTGCCGGACCCCGCTTTCTTGGCAAGGACAGCTTGGTACAAACATGTCATGCGCAAGCTGCACATTTGTCGTACCTGCATTTGCATTTGCCCGACTGCGAAAACACCAATCATCGTCCAAAAAACCCAGGAGACGCACGAAGTCCTTGGACGGGAAGGCCCAAAGAAATTGGTGAATCCCTCAACTTCCATGGAGCCATTGCATTGCACAAAGAGCTGGAGCAGAGCGATGAGTACGAACACAAAGAAAGAGAAAGAGAAAGAGAAAGAGGAGGAGGAGGAGGAGCAGAAAGAGTAGGAGCAAAAGACGGAGAGCAGGGAGAAGCAGAAGACGAGACTAAGCGACAAGAACAGCTTTGATCCGGCTACTTCCCTATGCCAAAGGCGCCGGGTGCCGTCGCAAAGTGCAAGCTGTGTCCCAGGCAGCTTTGCCAAAGCACCACCGCGGCAACTGGGGCGGTCACGCTGGTGGCAGGCGGGGGAGTATATAACAGTGCACGTGGGTAGGTTTGCCAAACATATAGCATTCTCGTGTACCCGGCTTATATATATATATGTATACACACTTATTTTATTTTATTTAAAAAAAAAAAAAAAAAAAAAAAAAAACAGCATAGACCCCGGATAGCAAAAACGCCAGCACCCCAAACAGCACCTGCAACAGCACCCCAGACTGCACGGCATACCACCCTACGTCAATCTTGCAAGAGTGCCCACACCGTCACCTGCCTGCGTGCCCACACCGTCAGCTGCCTGCATGCCCCCTACCACCCGGCCATCTATAATGCGCCCGCACCGTCACAAGCACCACAAACAGCTCCCCAAACAGCGCACCCTAACAGCATCTGCGCCAACCCGACTCCGTCAATCTCGCAAATCACTTTCCCCGCTTTATTAGAGGTTAGAGCCCCGATAGCTTTCAGCTATCTGAGGAGAAACAGAAAACGGAAAACACAACTTGTCTACCCCTATGTGCCACATATGTAGCCCCTGCTTTGAATTCATAGTTGATTGGCTATATAATTTACCCGTGATTGTAAAATCATTCTGGGCAGCCAGCCTCAAAGCAGGACGCAATATAACCATGGGTTCATGCATGCAAGTATACAATTAGCCTTTGTATGTACCCTTTATGTCCGACAATTATGAGAGAAAATGACATAGTTTTGCGGAAGCAACGAGGGCCATCACCAACCTTGAGAAAATAGATGTTGACTCAGGTTTGCGTGCCTTTGGCGCGATCGCCCTCCTTGCAAGGGTGTGATCCCCGGAACTACCAAAACTTTCTGATGTAGACTTTGCCCCTCCAGGACGTCGCCGCCGGCCAACTCTGAACAAATCTTACTGCAAACAAAAAAACACCTCGTGTCTGACAGGGCATAGTTGGGACAATTGTCCCACATGGCTTGCTGGGTGCCAAACAGAGAGGCCCAAAAACGTCAAACAAATTCTCTCCCATTTTGGCTTTGCAGCAAGCCAAGGACAAGTCCCCAGGTTCTTCAGGGATTCTAGCACAGGCGCGATGATGCCAGCCCGTCGCAGCGCTGCTGCGATCGTACCTGCGGGCCCCCCAGCGTGTCCACCTGGGCAAAAAACCGCAGACGCATGGCAGCGAGGGGTGGGACGTCTTTTTTTTTCTGGAGTAAAACTGGTTGTCGTGTCTCAAGAAACGTGCTTGAGCAGATTTGCGTGAGCCGCGTTGCGTGCCTGCCGGGGTTGGGGATTCGGAATCGAGCCCCGCATGCTTTACTTTTAAGAGTCCCAGAACTGAGCAGACGCATGAGCAATCTGTGCAGAAGTGTCCAACCCACCCCCCCTTGACCAAACAGGTGCCCTTGCCTCAAATGGCCGTCCATCCTTGCGAAAGCCAGCCCAACCAACTTCATGCCCCAAGAAACGTGCCTCCAGAATCTGGAGCCTCGCATCCACCCCCACGGCCATTTGGCTTTGCCAGGGCGCCAGGCCTCGGTGGACGGATCCCTTTGGAGCTGCCCGGCGCCGAGGAAGGTAATGTTAACCCCGGATGAATAAGCCCCTGGTCGATTAACAGGGAGGTGTCCCCTTTTAGTGGGGATTCATCACTGTTGGAGGGAACACCCGGGTCGGGTTTATTAATCCTGGGTCAACATTAAGCGGAATCTGATATGTCTGATTCATTTCACGAACCTTGCGAGTGCGTTCTGAACTGTTCTCAGTCCTGTGGAAACAGCAGACAATAGTGATTCGTACTAGGTGCATCCAAAACAACAAAGAAACGCACGGATGCCGCTGCTGCTGGGTGATTGCGCGTCAACTAACCCATCTAATGCCGACAGCGGATATGAGTGAAGCTTCACAGCACCTGTGAGCAACCTTCCAACCTTCACAAGTTTCAACGACAACACCGAACAACGAGCGTGGAAGCTGAAACCATTCACTGTCTGACAGGAAGAGAGTACCTCAGGTTGCACGAGGCCCAATTGCTTGAAACATGTTGTCAATGTTGCTGCGACGTTTGGCAACCTGGCAAACTAAATCACCATGGCATCTAACTATGAAATGACCAAAATTCCATGGCAGAGTTGGATGGCAAGCCTCGGGAGGAACTTCCGGACTTTCAAACTTTTGCAGCATGAGGAAACACCGAGGCGCCGCTATCTCAAACCACCCCTTTGGCGAAGAGGCATCCACTTCAACCTTTTTGGCAGGCTACCACCGGGGACCTTTTCTGCGGACATCATGTACACGTGGCTGTCAGCCACTTTGCAGGGTCTTCCCAAGAAATCGCCAGTTCAGCACGGCGCTTTGAGGGGCATGGAGCAGGCGACAAGAAATTTAGGCCGAGGCAAAACATTCCGGTCCACCCCCCCCCCCTGCAAAGGATCACAGGGTCCAGCCCCCAATACGTTAGGGCTGTCTTGGTTGCCACCCGTTTCTAAAACAACAGCCATTTGTAGAGGAACTTCCCCTCAAGGCCACCCCCCCCTTTGTGGCTACATGTTAATTATAGTGGAGTGCGCTCGGGGGTTTGGTTGATTTCTGAAGTTTGGAACCCTTTCCAGCCCAGGCCGCCAAGAACGTCCTCGTCGGTGGTGAAGACCTGCGCTTCGACTGCAGATATTTTTGCACCACCTAAGAAACAATGGAATGATTCCCCCCCAAACACCAACAATGGTTGTCCATGGACTCAAAGTGGTGCATCCACAGTACAGTATGGAAAGGTTATACAAGCCATTTCGCATTGGAGGCGGCTTGGGGATAGTCGCGAATGAGGCCCGTGCTTGCCTATGGAATGAGATCATCTCGGGGCTGAATGGGAATATGTCACGGGGCCGACTAAAGCCATCAGTGTAAAATTGAAGCTCTTTCTGGGGGGCTGAGTGTCGCTCCCGTGAACATCTGCCATCTTCATCCCTTTGGCTGGAACAGTGGGTCAGCTTTTAACGTCCATCAATGTCCATGCGGAAACATGTCGATTCACATAGATACACCTATGCAGTTCTCCGGGTGATGGGCGTAGAAAGCCTACCCTGGAGACCCTGTCGGAGTAAAAAGAAGATTCCTGAATGACACTAATACATCAAATGTTGTGAAGCACTTCCCAAACACTGGCCAACAGCACAGCTGTGACAAACTCAAGGTCATGCCCACTCACTGCCAAAATTGTTTGGCACTTGAAGGGAGTTTCCGCTGGGTAGGGTCAGGGTCGTGCCAAGTACCCTTGCCGCAATCTCCTTGCAGGTTCCCTTCATGCGGTGTTCTCAAGATGTCCCCCAAAGCTTGCGAACCCCTCGTCTCCGCTTTTGGGGGGCCCCAGTTTCCTCGTGCTTCATGGGGCCCCCGGGCCCCCAGCCGCTCGAGGACCCCCCCCCGCATCCCTCGCCTCGTTGGAGTTCAGCACGGGGCCCAGCTCATCAAAGACGGAGGCCCCGTCAAGTAGCAGCCCCGAGCATGGCACCTGCGGTGTGCGCGCGCAGCGTCTGCGCGGCTGAGGCCGCGCAGAGGCTTCGTTCTCGTTACGAGTTCGTCGCAAAATGGTCCGGAGCAAAAAAAAAAAAGGAGAAAAAAAACCGGCTCAATTGTCCTGGGGACTCCCTTTCTTTGCCACCAAAAGAAAGAGTCCTGCTAAAGAAAGACACGCCCATGAGGGTACCCTGTGTTAGATGTTTTTTGAAGGGCAACATTTAGGAACCTCACCAGCACCCCAAGACATTTAACATGGCCTGGCTCTTTGGCTCCTTTGCTCGTTGATCAATGTGGAAACTGCCATACTCTGCTCGCCTAGGGATCAACCAGTTCATGCCAGGTGGTTGCAGGGCTCAAGCCAGTGGGTCAGTTGCTCGTCCCTATGAAGTAGTCGGTTGAACAACTGTCCATGGCAGAGATCCCTGCCTCACCCCACTCAGCCACGTCATCCTCAGCATCGTCTTCCCGAAGAACCTGGCAAGGGACACAAAGAAACCATAAATAGAGCGGGCAGCAAGTGACTCACGGTCTCAAACTCTTTGCCAAAGGGTGTCTTCCAAGCTGATCTTGCATCTACGCTTCGATGGTATGCTTGTGCTCGAGTACATCTGGTCCTGACCCCAAGAAATTCATGTTCGAGGGCTCTGGAAACCGGAATCAGGTCCCGTGCGGAATACGAGATTGCTTGCTGGACCGGGCGCAAGAAAGTTCCCAGGGTTCACATCGTCTGCCCCCAAAAACCATTCCTCCAGCTTCATCGCGCCCTCGAAAGAGGAGGAAACGACCGGGAGCAGCAGGTCGTACTCCTCCTGGCTTTCGGAGCAAAATGGCTTTCCTCACATGGGAACACTGGGTGGGCAAAATATTGTCAGTGGCTCACATGGCACTGAACTGTTCGCCCGTCGCCAACGGCCTGACTGGCCATATCTGGCAGTCTGGGGAAAAAAAGGATTTGTGATTTGTGCCAGTAGGAGTGCAAGGAAACTATTTTCGGAAGGCGGCTGTGTGCAAAGTTCCGTTGGCGACGCTCTGGTGGACACCATCCACACGGAGATTCCACCAAAAATGTTCCATAGTTCCAACCATCAAAGCTCATTGCCTTCTGCACCCACAAGAGCCCAGTACAGCCCACCCTTGGATCCCAACAGGGATCAAAGTCCAAACCCCAGAGGTACACAAGTTACACAAGTGTCAGTGACAGGGTTGCCCATACGTCCACCCTGAGCATCACCCCACCATAAGCAAAGCTGGGTGCTCAATCACAATCCAAAAGTAAAGCTCGAGGGCCCCCCTGACACAGCCTGGGTTCCCTGATCCTAATCCACTATCCTTAGTGGGACACCACAAGGGAGACAGCTTAAGGATCTTCTCGCGCCTCGCTCTGCAGCACCCCATCCAAGTGGAGCTCCACTGCGGACCAGAAGCCCTGAGGCTTTTGAACTTAAAGTTCCATTGCCACAAAAAGGACGTCAACCCAGTGGTGCAAACGTATTCCATTGAAGGGCCCCTTGGTTTCAGTCCGTTCGGGTGCCAACAGAAAATGGAAGTTTGAAAGCACTACCCCAAGCTGAGTTCCTAGTAATCGTGTGCCAAGTTACATGCAAAAAGGTCCTGAGGAAATATTTGTGGACGCGAAAGCCCATACAGCATATTCGTTGGCGTCGCACGGCCGAGTACGACTGATTGCCACGCGAATCAAAGCAATAGGTGGGGAAACCCGTCTCGCAAATGCCCTGGTCAACCTCGTCAAACAAAGCTGTTGTGAAACTTTGTTGGGTGAGAAGCATCTGTCTGTTCCAGAACGTCAGCAACGGCTCATGTCAACCAGCTACTGTTTTTGGTTGCGCAAGTGCGGCATAGATTGAGCTGCACGAGGATATTTAAACTGACATGCTCCACTATGCCATGCTCCACTTGGCCGCTTTCCTCTGCACGAGGTTGACATTCAAAATTGGCCCTCCAGCAACTGAGGGCATCTTCCAACTATACATAGGGCTTTATGTCCCTCTCCATCGCCACTTTCGCAACACTCCCGCTCCAAGTGGAGGCTCCCAGGACATCAACAGCACTCCGCTGCCCCCCCCCCCCGTCCCCGGGAGGGCGCGCGCCTCAAGGCGCTCGCAGCGCAGCAACAGCGGCAGGTTTCGGCTCTCCTGGCTTTTGGCGGCGACAAATATGATCGAGCCGGCTCGCAGAACGGCCTCCTGTGTCTGAGGGTACCCAGGGTACCCTTTTGAGGTCGCTTTGAAGCACCATCACCACTCAGTCAAAGGTTCCTGGCATCTCCCGTCAGTCCCGCGTGCGCAAAACCATAGGCTTCGTTCAAGGAGACCCGAAAATCCTCCCGTGAGAGGCCTCTGCAAAAAGGCCCAGTTCCATGGGCTCGACGCTCGCCCGGACTCCCGGACTCCCGGACTCCCGCGCTCCACCACCAGGTCGCAGCCCTGGAAGTCTGAGAACGCCAGGCCCTGGCCGGACAGAGCGCTTCTAGGGCCGGCTCCAAATTGGATGTCCGAACTGTTTGGGTGTCCCTTTGATTCACACCCCAAAGGCGCGCCAACAAAGAAAGACGGACATGTACATACCCAGAATGGCGCAAACCTGGTCCAAAGCCATTGGAATTGCGCGGAATCCTGACTTGACGTGGATTGGACACCTCCAGAGGAGAGCCGCACATGCGGCAAACTAGCCGCGAAGGGCTTGGATTTTTGCCAGCCACCCGCGCGTTCCAAGGGAAGTTCGGAAGTGCTTGGAGTTGGAGTCCCGTCAAGGTGGAGGCGCATGAAACCCCATGTATGAATCCAGACATGCATGGTGCTGATTGGAGTGGTTTGCAATCCTGTTCCAGTCCTGTTCCAATCCTGTTCCAATCCATGTTCGAATCAGTGCTGTAACATCCAGGTTCCAATCCCGTTTTGCAGTGGTGCTTCGAGCCCACAGGCCTTGTCCCAGGAGAGACGCAGTCTCGAAGGCCGCCGCAAGGGCAGCAGGTCCTGACCGGCCACGGTGTTCATGCCCTGTCCCCCCTGGCGGCGTTGAGAGAATGCCCCGACTTCAAACCGCAAAGCCACTGCCCGAGCTGGTTGATGGGTGTCATGTGGCACACCTGCCAACTACAAAAGCCATGCTCACAACCATTTTTACAAAGTTTCTAGACTATTCGCAGGCCAACAGTAGGCCCATGGACTTATTGCTCGCAGTCTCGTCAGATCTCCCCAGTCCTGGTACGCCTGGCTGGTGCCTGTGCGAAAGCGCACCAGCCTTGTGCCGTCGATCTATCGAAGCGTCGGGGCTGCAGCTCAAAACTTCGAAACAGATCAAGTGTTCAGCCGCGCCAGTACCATCTGTCATTTTTTCATTCCGCCTCATTTTGCCCTCGTCTCAGGTTTCCTTTGAGGCGAACCCACTCTCCCCTGGCCCCACTCTCGGCCCGGGCCCCCGGCAGCAGCGTCTCCCGGCGCTGCTGGCCCCCGAGCACCGGCCGCAGGAACCGCGCCGCCAGGAAGGGCAGCGGGCCTCGCGAGCCGAGGGCCGAGAGCGGTCGGCATGGACCCCTTGGGCCTGAGATCCTCAAAACACATGGCTGTGGTTGACCCAAAATGGCGGTGGTTGTCAAAACCCATAGCTCCGTTTTGGGGGGGTTTTCGGTGCACCACCCATTTTAGAACCTTTTAGCGGGGATCGGTATGTTCACTGGGGGTACGGGATTTTGGCTCATGCCCAAAATGGCACCGGGGATGTGGGAAAAATAAAAACATACACACAAAGGTTGAGAGGGAAGCCACCCCCTGCGATGCAGGACGCTGCGTGCTCAAAGAGCAAAAGTGTCATGTGCCAAGGTGTTCCCCTACGGAAATACCTACAAACTATACGAGCCACACAGACACGCATAGCCTTTGGACTGAAGCCCGTGCAAGCCAAATCCTTGGAACGTTTCGGCACATCATAGTGGGTCTGCGGACTGCATCCGACCTTCAACCCAAAGACGAGAAAATGCCAACACTCGGAAATTCTGAAACACCCAAGACAACTGCACACGCGAACGCACACACACACACACAAACAAACAAACAAACAAACAAACAAACAAACAAACACAAACAAACACTCTCTCGAGGAGAAAGTAAAACGGAAATCAAAGAGTTCCCCGACACTTTCCCGAGTCGGGCGCGGAATGCATGACAAAGGGGGTTCGAAACAGATTTTGAACCAGCGTCATGTGCCCGTTGCGGCCTCTACTTCTATGACACCCGCTCTCTTGTGGACAATGCACCGACTGTATCTGTAGGTTTGTTTATTGGTCTTGAGGAAAGGGGCAAAAGGCAGCCCCAGACAGCTTGAATGCTAAGATTCCCATGTCCCCCCTCCCCAGCCCCCACCCCCTCCAATTTTCACCAAAAGACACAAGCCGCAAAACGCCCAACCCCCCATCCCCCCCCCTCTGCCTGCAGTTGTCGGCAGCGCCGCTGCAAGCGCAGACCAGCCGAGAGGCAGCTCGCCGCCTGTCAGGACCTGGCAGGGAGCGCCATGTTTCGAAGCCTTTTCTCCCAACATGAAAGCGGACAACTTGCTGGTGCGATAGGCAGGGAATGAGGGACGGAATGACCCTGATACACCATCCAACCGGTGGTTGCCTTTAAGGGAACCTTTGGGTTCATTCCCTCATTCCCTGAGCACCAGCAAGACAAGGGGGCCCTTCCAGAAGGATGGTTTTCCAACACCATCCTGTCCTCCAGGCCGCATTGTTGGAAAGCGAGCTGAACTCAACGCCGAACCAACTTCTGGTACCTCAGAATGTTATTCCACCAACGTACGGTGCTGAACTCGAAAAAAAGACAAGCATGCCAGGGCTGCGGGGTAGTCAACCTCAATGTGCCATCCGGAGATCTCCATTTTCACCCCGATGGTCGTGACATCCTCCTGGCGTGGGGGGTTCACGGCTACCCCGTTTTGATGTCCGAGTTTTGAAACATCCCGACAGCGCCTTGCAAATACGAAACCATGTGCTGCAACGTATCCCGACTTGGACTTCTGGCGGCTAGCCAATGCTTCCGGCCCTTGCTATGCCAAAGTTGACCGGCTCTCCGCTGGCTTGGGCGCTTGGGGTCCGTCCCACCGTCGGTCCCACTCCACGGTGTAGACGACGCCGCGGAAGAGGCAAGGCAGCCCGCGCCGCCACTCACTGGGAGACCTCCGGACCGAGGCGATGGTGGTCCTACGCCTGGAAAACTCGACCGGGGGCCAAACCAAAACCAGTGAAATCCTACAACCAAACTGACCTGGCATGCACATCACCTCTGCTCTGAATCCCATGAACCCCCAATTTCTTTCTTGTCAGAAGGGCTGTGGGAATTACCCACTTGTGACACTGGAAAGCCTTCCCAATAACTGCTTCTTCACTTGCAGGCTAGAGGAAGGCTCCGTGGTATCAGGGAAGCGTGATCCAACGCCTTCCATCAGAGTTCTTGCCAAGTCACAAGGTCATGGTGCAGAAGCCGCCCGCCTGAGCGACAAAGCCGGAGCGACAGCCGAAGCAAGCGGTTGGTCTCTTGCAGTGATTGCGTCACGGGCTTCTTCCGAGTTCTGGGCTGGGAACAGCTACTTTACCAGTCATTGTGCCTATTTTAAAAAAAAAATGAAACACATCCTGATCTGGACATGTCTTACCAGAAATAGTTTGCGGCCCTTGGAATCCCGCAGACCCCACACCGCCCCCTCCGGCCTGTCGCAAGCAGTCCACCGGAGCAGCGCTGGGTCCCTGGGGCAGGCTGGGGCAGCTGGGGCACTGTATGCGCTGATTGGACATCTGAGAGAGTTTCCAGTCCCAAATCATTACCCACAGAACAGCCATAGGCCACACCACTATATATTTCACATTGGGGGGTGTCGGCAACCATCTCAGAATCAATCCAGAAATCCATAAGAAGAACCTGGCCCCCAGCGTATAGATTTTTTAGGCATTTCAGGTTTGATTGCGGAAACAAGCCACCAAGGCTTCCCTCTTACCCACCTCTGCCGACTGGCTCGGCAGCATCAAAGCCAGCGGGGGCACAATCCGTACCTGTGCCGGGCCCGGCATGGCAAACCCAAAACTCGGCACCTGTCCCGCGAGAAAACACGGGCCTGCCACAATACTACTACTGCTCCTGCGTTGATGCGCGCTTTCTTGATTTTGGGCAGATCTGTTCTGCAACAGGCATGACAAGCAGCTGACGCATTCGACAGCCTTCAAAATTCTGAGGCATGATGGCAGCAAAGCACAAGACGTCACCAAAACAAATGGGCTCCAACCACATACTTGGGTGTTTGCAGCAGGTTGGGGGTGCTATCACTTTGGGATAGGCTGAAACGAGTGGCCACGTTCCGCCCCACAAGCTCTATAGATGCTCAAATGTCCTTCCCCAAACACACCCATCCCCCTCTCCACAGCTTGCCTGGCCAGGCAAGGCAGCCAAAGGGTCCTCCCAGGTGAAAGGCAACGAACAAAACAACACACAGGCGCAGACCGGACCGGACCCATCACCCCCCGCAAACAAATTCTGGTGGATTCCTCCGCTCCAGAACTCCACCTCCGTCGATCGCAGTCTCTCGCTGGCCCGGTCCATGCAGAGGTCAACTCCGGGATCCAAGTCCAGGCGCACCGCGCCCTTGAGGCCGGCAGCCGTGGCGAAGGGCCTCGCGCGGCGAAAAAAGAGAAAAAAAAACGCCAGAAAGAAGAGACTGGAGGGCCTGTCCCGCATACACTGGACTGATGAAAATGCGGGATTCCTGGGTTTGAACCAGCAAACTAGCTGAGGCAAAACTTCAGCTTGGACACATGTGTCCCTTCGTTGGACGGCTAGCACGTCCTGCCCTGGTTGCTGGTGCAGTTCCCAAGTTGGCCCAAGCCGCAGGTCGGCCTTCATCATTGTGGCCAAGACGAATACCAGCTGCGACTCACTTTGTGATTTAGCTGGCTCTGGGCGGTTGGGCATTTTTTGCTGATGCTCAGTTGGCTGGGCAAAAAGGCACAGGTTCATCACCCTGCCTCACCTACCACGGAAACCCTCCAAAAGGTGTCGCCTCAGACATGTAAGTGGGTGGAGCGTATTCAAGTGAAAGATATGCAAGCATCATAATCTCTCCAGAACTCCATGACCCCAAACTGCAGCCGAGCTTTTGTAACACCTCAAAGCTGTCTCTCTGCTGCCCCAAACGTGGCCAAACGACAAAGCACCAACATGTCATTCAAGTACACAACACACGTTGAATAGCAAACAACATTACCTTTCCGTTCACGCACACACAGAGACGCACAGAGAAACGCACAGAGACACAAAGAGACACGCAGAGACACACACAGAGACACACAGAGGCACACACACACACACACACACGTGCGCATATGTGTCTGCAAAAAGAATATCATCTACGCACATATGTGCAGCATGGGCATGGCATCCCCCTCCCAAGTAATATGCAACAACATACGTTTCTAGTGTTGGCTAGCCCTAGCTTCCAAAAAATTGGCGACTATGCAAATGAGCTCTGTTCTATTCTGTTCTAAGTGATTCCGAGGAAGCCCACCCGAAAGCAGGCAGGCGCCCCTGGTACTGAATTGCCGGCCACGCCTCGCTGCGGCCCGGAGCTGCGGCCCCAGCACCACGGCCGCGTCCAAGGCGCAGGCGCCGGCGCCGCGCCGCAGCAAGCCACGCCAGGGGCGGTGGTCTGAGCACCGAGGCTCGGCTGGACACTCGGCGAGGCACTCGGATTGACCATGGAACCCAACTTGCCGGTACTCAGCTGAGAGAGTGACCCCAACAAATCATTCCCTATGGTTGCCTTTAAGGGGATCCACAGGTTGATTCCCTCATTCCCTGCTGAGCACCAGCCAGAAAGGGAGACTCTGAAGATGGAGGCGTTTATGGGGCGTCAGGTGCAAACGGGAAGTTTCTCCGGCTTGGGTGACCCGTTGATTGGGTTCTGACAAATGGGTTCCTTTCGCATGCTACACACCTTATTGTCCCCTGCAAGCGATCCGAACCCGCGTGGCGGGTCCCCCTTGAAACATCACACACACACGGGGATTGACAATCCCCTGAAAGCCATGGACTCCCAAAGAGTCTTTCCCTTCCAACAACAGAAACAAAGAAACTCACTGGAAAAGAACGAGGTCCAGAAGGGTGATGTAGAAAACCAACGACAAGAATCATGTAGGGAAACCCTGAAGCACCATGAGCAGGTACAGGAAATGCATGGTCCATTTCGGGCCAATTGTGCGATGGGCTCACCTGTGCGTGATGTGGCTGCAAAGCTAAGGACTGCCAATGCGGCCACTCAGTCACGAACTTCCATCAGGCCACAAACAAAGAAGCAACAGGCTCGGATCTGAGAATGGAGCTTGCCTGCCAGGCAAGGCCCCTCCCATGCGCCTGTAGCGCCACCCAAGGGAAGCCTGGCAACAAAGCATCTACCCAAGCCACCCCCTTTCCGTGCAAACCTGCGATGTGCAGTTTGATGACATGCCCGACTGGCTTCGTTTCTGCCAACGCGAGCTGTACCAATCGATATTGCGGGGAACATTTACTTACTCATCGCCTCCATGGTACGATCTCCTGACACTTCAAAATGACAAGCCCGTCCGTTGAAATTAAAAGCGAAAATCCGATCCCTCACTGCCTGCAGCTCCAACACCCCGGCGTGTTCCAGCGGCATTGCCCTTTCTCAAATTATAGGCTTGAAAGGTTTCGGATGGCTTTGGCTCTCCCCATGTTCCATTGATTTTCGCGGATCCTCATAAAGCCTCATGGGCCAGCAATCTTCCCCGTGCCTCCACTCTACTCCACGCCCAGCCCCGCCGGCTTTGTCTGGGCTGTTCAAAATGGGGGGATCCCCAACAATTACAAATCCGTAATCCATCGGAGGACACAACAGGAACCTGGTCATAAGAACTCATTGAACAACCCTTTGTTCAGGACTTGCCACCAGAAACAAGAGGAGCCCGGGAACCCAAAAGCAAACCAGCCTCACCCATGGCATGTGGATCCCGTTGTTTTCCGGCTCAAGGGTCCGAAGGCAAACCAAGATTTAAGTTGTTCACAGTTGGGAAATCAACCCCAAAACAGATGAAGAAGGGGAGCAACCGCGACTCAAGCCGGATTGGCAAATTAGCAGCCTGTGCTCTGACCAAGCACAGAGAAAAAGGCAAAGGCACGGGTGAAACATGACAGGCCCCGCACTACATGGAAGGCACGAAGTCATCCGATTCATCACGAAGAACCAATCGCAGAAATCCGAAAATGGATCCGCACAAACTACCACTCCCAAATTGGAAGCAAAGCATAAGCTCGCTCTACACCCATCTGAAACAAGTCTGAGACACAGTGTTACAACCCGATCTGAGTAGACCGGGGTCAGCTGTTCGGATGTTCATGCGCCCTTTTGTTTGGGCCGAGTGTGCTCAGCATATTCATGTCAACGTGCTTCCAGGCTGCTTCCAAATAAGTAGGGCGAACCCCAAGAGGCCACAGACTCTGAAGAGAGGGTTCGTCCTAGAAACACATTGGCGCCATTTGTTCGGGTCAGGTGTGCGGCAAAAAGGACGATCTTGGCGCACCTGGAACGCCGGGCTGTTCACATGGAGCCGTGCACGTGGCCTTCACAAACTTGCTTCGTAAGCTTGCTTGGATTCGTTAGTTTCTCCACCTATGTTTTCCCATTCGCAACCAATTGCAACTGGTGACTTTGTGGAAGGGCCGCGCACGTTGTCAATTGGATGCGTGTGGGTGGCAAGTTGGGTGGATTCGCCGCAGGTGTGTGGAGACGGGGCCGGCGCTGCGCTTTTGCGGGGGGCTCGGTGTGGACAAGCCTCGGTCACTTGGTGGGTCTGACGGCTGTCCGAAACAAGTCTGAGACACAGTTACCACGATCTGCGTAGACCGGGGTCAGCTGTTCGGATGTTCATGCGCCCTTTTGTTTGGGCCGAGTGTGCTCAGCATATTCATGTCAACGTGCTTCCAGGCTGCTTCCAAATAAGTAGGGCGAACCCCAAGAGGCTACAGCTTCTGAAGAGAGGGTTCGTCCTAGAAACACATTGGCACCATTTGTTCGGGTCAGGTGTGCGGCAAAAAGGACGATCTTGGCGCACCTGGAACGCCGGGCTGTTCACATGGAGCCGTGCACGTGGCCTTCACAAACTTGCTTCGTAAGCTTGCTTGGATTCGTTAGTTTCTCCACCGATTTTCCCATTCGCAACCAATTGCAACTGGTGACTTTGTGGAAAGGGCCGCGCACGTTGTCAATTGGATGCGTGTGGATGGCAAGTTGGGTGGATTCGCCGCAGGTGTGTGGAGACGGGGCCGGCGCTGCGCTTTTGCGGGGGGCTCGGTGTGGACAAGCCTCGGTCACTTGGTGGGTCTGACGCTGTCCGAAACAAGTCTGAGACACAGTGTTACCACGATCTGCGTAGACCGGGGTCAGCTGTTCGGATGTTCATGCGCCCTTTTGTTTGGGCCGAGTGTGCTCAGCATATTCATGTCAACGTCAGGTGTGCGGAAGCAGCATTGCAGCGCTGCAGAGCTCGCTGACCACGGGTCTCTCCAACAAGGCAGACCAGTCGGCCTTCGACGTGCTGGAGGGCGTGGTGGCCACGAAGAGCACCCCCGACGGCGTGGACCTGAAGCTGTCGAACTACAGCACCACGGCTGCCATGAACGGCTCCATCGCCTCGGCCAACAACGCCACGCTGGCCACGGTGGCAGCCAACTACGGCCTCAAGACGGTGGTGGACCAGCACTCCCTCGACATCGCAGCAAGGATCATGCCGCTGGAGGTCGACACCAAGGTGGCTAACGCTCTCCTGGGCGTCGTCACCGCCGCAGCGCTGGCCTCCGAGCTCGCAAGTCGAGACGCCTCCATCTCGGGGCTGCAGGCCTCCAAGGCGGCAAAAAGGACAATTATGGCGTACCTGGAGCGCCCGCATGTCATGAGCGTCCACCGCGCCAGTCTCGCTCGCCGGCATGTCACGAGCGTCCACCGCGCCAGTCTCGCTCGCGGGCGGTTTCCGCATGTCACGAGCGTCAACCGCGCCAGTCTCGCTCGCGGGCGGTTTCCGCATGTCACGAGCGTCCACCGCGCCTGTCACGAGCCTCCACTGCGCCAGTCTCGCTCGCTGGCGGTTTCCGCGTGTCACGAGCGTCCATGCACCGCGCCAGTCTCGCTCGCGGGCGGTTTCCGCATGTCACGAGCGTCCACCGCGCCAGTGTCGCTCGGGGGCGGTTTCCGCCTGTCACGAGCGTCCACCGCGCCAGTCTCGCTCGCGGGCGGTTTCCGCATGTCACGAGCGTCCACCGCGCCAGTCTCGCTCGCGGGCGGTTTCCGCATGTCACGAGCGTCCACCGCGCCAGTCTCGCTCGCGGGCGGTTTCCGCATGTCACGAGCGTCCACCGCGCCAGTCTCGCTCGCGGGCGGTTTCCGCATGTCACGAGCGTCCACCGCGCCAGTCTCGCTCGCGGGCGGTTTCCGCTGTCACGAGCGTCCACCGCGCCAGTCTCGCTCGTGGGCGGTTTCCGCATGTCACGAGCGTCCACCGCGCCAGTCTCGCTCGCGGGCGGTTTCCGCATGTCACAAGCGTCCCCGCGCCAGTCTCGCTCGCGGGCGGTTTCCGCATGTCACGAGCGTCCACCGCGCCAGTCTCGCTCGCAAGCAGTTTCCGCAGGTCACGAGCGTCCAGCGCGCCGCCAGTCTCGCTCGCGGGCGGGTTCCGCCTGTCACAATCGTCCACCGCGCCAGTCTCGCTCGCGTGCGGTTTCCGCATGTAACGAGCGTCCACCGCGCCAGTCTTGCTCGCGGGCGGTTTCCGCATGTCACGAGCGTCCCCCGCGCCAGTCTCGCTCGGGGGCGGCTTCCGCCTGTCACGAGCGTCCACCGCCCCAGTCTCGCTCGCGGGCGGCTTCCGCATGTCACGAGCGTCCACCGCGCCAGTCGTCCACCGCGCCAGTCTCGCTCGCAGGCGGTTTCCGCCTGTCACGAGCGTCCACCGCGCCAGTCTCGCTCGCGGGCGGTTTCCGCATGTCACGAGCGTCCACCGCGCCAGTCTCGCTCGGGGGCGGTTTCCGCATGTCACGAGCGTCCACCGCGCCAGTCTCGCTCGCGGGCGGTTTCCGCATGTCACGAGCGTCCACCGCGCCAGTCTTGCTCGCGGGCGGTTTCCACATGTCACGAGCGTCCACCGCGCCAGTCTCGCTCGCGCGCGGTTTCCGCCTGTCACGAGCGTCCACCGCGCCAGTCTCGCTCGCGGGCGGTTTCCGCATGTCACGAGCGTCCATTGCGCCAGTCTCGTTCGCGGGCGGTTTCCGCATGTCACGAGCGTCCACCGCGCCAGTCTCGCTCGCGGGCGGTTTCCGCCTGTCACGAGCGTCCACCGCGCCAGTCTCGCTCGCGGGCGGTTTCCGCATGTCACGAGCGTCCACCGCGCCAGTCTCGCTCGCGGGCGGTTTCCGCATGTCACGAGCGTCCAGCCAGTCTCCACCGCGCCAGTCTCGCTCGCGGGCGGTTTCCGCATGTCACGAGCGTCCACCGCGCCAGTCTCGCTCGCGGGCGGTTTCCGCATGTCACGAGCGTCCACCGCGCCAGTCTCGCTCGCGGGCGGTTTCCGCATGTCACGAGCGTCACCGCGCCAGTCTCGCTCGCGGGCGGTTTCCGCATGTCACGAGCGTCCACCGCGCCAGTCTCGCTCGCGGGCGGTTTCCGCATGTCACGAGCGTCCACCGCGCCAGTCTCGCTCGCGGGCGGTTTCCGCATGTCACGAGCGTCCACCGCGCCAGTCTCGCTCGCGGGCGGTTTCCGCATGTCACGAGCGTCCACCGCGCCAGTCTCGCTCCCGGGCAGTTTCCGCATGTCACGAGCGTCCACCGCGCCAGTGCGGTTTCCGCATGTCACGAGCGTCCACCGCGCCAGTCTCGCTCGCGGGCGGTTTCCGCATGTCACGAGCGTCCACCGCGCCAGTCTCGCTCGCGGGCGGTTTCCGCATGTCACGAGCGTCCACTGCGCCAGTCTCGCTCGCGGGCGGTTTCCGCATGTCACGAGCGTCCACCGCGCCAGTCTCGCTGGTTTCCGCATGTCACGAGCGTCCAGCGGTTTCCGCATGTCACGAGCGTCCACTGCGCCAGTCTCGCTCGCAGGCGTTTTCCGCATGTCACGAGCGTCCACCGCGCCAGTCTCGCTCGCGGGCGGTTTCCGCATGTCACGAGCGTCCACCGCGCCAGTCTCGCTCGCGGGCGGTTTCCAGCCAGCCTCGCACGCCCAGTCTGCACCACACCGCCGTCCCCCGAGCCAGCCAGTCTCGCTTGCGGGCGGTTTCCAGCCACGCCCAGTCTGCGTCCCCCCAGCCAGCCAGTATCGCTCGCGGGCAGTTTCTAGCCAGCCTCGCGCACCCAGTCTGCACCACACCGCCGTCCCCCCAGCCAGCCAGCCTCGTACGCCCGGTCTGCACCCCCAGCCGGCATCGCACGCCCGGTCTGCAGCACAACGAAATGGAAATCCCTTCTTATCTCCGTCGTCACAGCTTGTATCGCTCCCAGGCACCTTAAGAGAAAACCTAAAGCAGAACCCAAGCATCAGAGATGCTTTTGGGAAAAAGGAGAGAAGAAAAAAACTCTGATTTTTTAAAGCACTCAGTCTAACCAGCTTTGCAACGGTCGCCATGTCCCCCGCCTCAGCCGCAGCTCGAAGCTCGTCCCGTTCGCTGCGGCCGGCAGACTCGAGTTGAAGCCCTCCAGCGCTAGCGCCGCGCGCACACCCAAAGCCTTGCGGGAGAGATCAGTGCGAGAGAGCTGCTGGTGGGATCAGAGAAAAAAGGGGCCTGTCAAAACTGAGGGCGCTTGTTTGGAACGCACCAGGTTGACCCATGTTAGAATCATTTGAAATACCTGAACACTTGTCACCTGTGCTTTCTACAGTTGGATTGACATCGTTGCCGCCCCACGTGCAGTTCGTTTTTTGGCTGTGCTGAAAACGATGCGTGCTTCCAAGGACTAGTTTACAAGTTTCGGGCACCTGTAGCAATTGTCGGGTGTACGGTGTCCCTACTAGTTAGCAAGTCGTTGCCTGGACGCTGGATAATGATTTGTCCAGTGAGGGAACAGAGAGGCCATTGAAACTTGAAGATGCTGATATCTTATTTGGTCAGCAAGCGCACCTGGCCCAAAAGCAGCACAACCCTCAAAAAGGACAGAACATGCAACAGCTTGTTGTGGCCAGTTGGTCCCCAGTCATGAAGGACGAAACATCCGCTCTGTCAGCAAAGCACGGCAGGAATAGTAAAGGGCATGGGAATTGTTGTCAGTCTTCTGGCTTTGCATGCTTGTGTGGGAGGTATTGAGACCCCCATGTCCCTCCTGAATTGAACGTAGACTGCCTGGCATGTTTGACGAAAGTATACCCTCTCAAGCAGGCGCAGCCTTGCTTGAAGCTTGAAAAGGATGAAGTCTACTGAGGTTGCTGCCTCCAGGGACAAATGACCACTTGGCCTTCAATAGGAGAGCCCCAAGACACAGCTACTCAGGGCTGCCGCCCGGCGATGGCAAAGCAACAATGCTCAGCCGGCCCAGCTCAGTTTTTCTGGGGTGGCACCACTTTGCTACTTTTCCTGACAGGAATCCTTATGCAGATCTGCTATCCCTTATCCCTGCGAGATCTCAAAACATTTCGGGCAAACCAATTCGCCAAGCGTCCACCCAGCGGCAAACCAGCGGGCTGTCGGAGACCACGGTGCAGGCTGGCGAGATGAGGCGAAGGCTCGAGCACGTCTTCCCAACTCTCCGGTGCTTCCATGTTGACGTCGCAACAGGCATGAATGTCGCACACGCAAACATGCAAACACACACACACACACACACAAAACACACACACACACACACCGAAAGCACGCCAAAGGTATTTGAGCAATCAATCTTCGTGCCCAACTTATGCGGCCGAAAATCAAGCTGAAAACTCACTGCGCCGGGGTCAGTCCTTCCAAAGACCTGCGCACTCTGTGCAAATGCCCCACGAGTGGAGACATCACTTAAAATTAAAATATTTACAGCCCGAACTGCTCAATGGCGTCCTTGCCAGTGTAGAGCTCCGCAGCGATGATTCCAATGGCTGCAAACATGGCAAATCGGCCGTTGTTGATCTCCCTTTCCTGAACGTGCCATGTCAGGCAAAAACACAACAAACCAGCAGGAGACAAACATGGAGACATCCAAACAAAAAAGTGAGATTGTTTCTGAAAACAAGTGCCGGCCAAGGTTCGCGCATCTCCTGGTTGTACTGGTTCAGGCCGAGCGGGTCGCCGAAGTTGCCCGGCTCCTTGTCATCGCTCTCGGTCCAAGCAGCCAACTCGAGGATGCCGCTCAGGCCGAAGAGGGCCACGAAGCCATAGCTGCCGGGCGCAGTGATGGAAGCAGCAAGGCCGGAAGGCACAGAATCGAAGCCAGGGAACTTGATGTAGTGCTGCGCAACTGCACCCAGTGCTGCCATCATGGCCACACGGCCGTGCCTCACTGATTCGTTGATCCTTCGCGACAAGATAAACTTTTAGGATTTGGTAAGATATGTAATCAGTCTCAAGAAGCCCTAATGCTTGGAAACACCAAGGTGCTTGATCTCAGCGGCACGGAAGTTGCGGAAGCCGGCCTCATCGCCCTTCTTGCAGAAGCCAGCCGGGTCGAAGTAGCCGAGAGGATCCATGGCACCAATCTGGGTGGAGGGATCAAAGGAGGGGCTGCCGCTGCCCTTGCCTGCAACACCTTCGCCCTTGGAGAGGGATCCGGCGCCAGCAGAGCCGGCAACGGCGGAAGTGGTTGCAGTTGCACCCTTGGCAGCGGCGGCACCCTTGGCAGCGGCAGCGGCGCCCGCCTTGGCGGCAGCTGCCGCTGCAGCCGCAGACACAGGCTCTGCCCGTCGGGCCATGCGTCCTGCGCGCCCTGCAGCCACGGCTCCCACTCCGACGAGGCCCATCAAAGGCAGCACGCTGCCGGAGCCCTGAGGTGTTGGGGCCGCTGTGGCTCCGCGAAGGCTTGCCCCTGCATCGTTGCTCACTGCAGGCCCTGAGGCACCAGGCACGAAGGCCTGCGCGGCCACGTAGCCACCAGCCGCGATGCCGGCAGCGGCCAACATGGAGCTACGGGGAGCCATGACGAGGGAGGGATGGCTGAGTGGGCTGTGATGCGAAACAAACTGCGGATAGGCATGGCCCAGCACTGGCATGGGTTCAATCGCCGTAGAATTGTTTGAGGCAAGCTCTGAAGTGAGGAGTCCTCCACGTGCCACGGAAACAGCACGCCTTGCACGAGCACGCGTAGACGTGTAGGGCCAGTGCAGCAAAGATAAATCGGACTGAAACGTGGTCGAGCAGATTTTGCTTGATAGCACATACCGCTTTGATTGAAAATGATAAGTGCCAGTTGGGGTTGGCGGTCGGCAAGGCGGTGGGGGCTAGAGCGAGTGGGATGTTCCTGTTTGTGCGCTGGCCGCTCTGTGTTCTTTGAACAAGATTCAGCACAATGATAGCCAGTGCGCTGAAGACCTGTCTTTGATTACGCCTTCAAATGAAGCCCATGAAGAGAAAAAATGGAGCTTGCCCCCAGCACCGGCCAGGAACATTGCCTTTACACGTCCTCCTTACCGTCCATCGTGCCCTGAATGATTGCCTTCGTAAATACACCTCAAATCTTGATCAACACTTTCACTTGCTGGGGCACTAGGAATGCCACGAGCCATTGAGGATAGCCGAAGTGCTTTGCAGCGCAATCTGAAAACTCTCTGGAGAACAGCCAAGAGCCGCAACATCCGCTTAACCAACTGAGCCACAACAGTCGGTCGCTTGCAAATGCCTGACAAAGCAAGCACTCGCCATCAACAATCTAGCTACGCAACAAACATTCTCAGGGATGAAACATGATGAAACCACACATGAAGCTTGTTGAAAGGCAAATATGTTTTTTTTTACACGTGAGTCAGGCACACGACTTGTGCAATTCTGGATAAGCCATACGTTTGACACATCTCCAAAAAGCTGATACCATCGAATGTGTGCCGCCTGAAGTCGCAGTTTTATCCGTTGTAGCACTCTGGCCTGTGGGTCTTGCAGTCTTGGGCGAAACCCCAATGCGAAAAGCGGCCACATTTGTGAGGCTGAAAATCAACTCAAGAAAACGAGGCAAACAGAAGCAATCAAGGGCAAGACTGGCTGACTGGCTGCAAATAACATGCACTTGATTGTTATGAGGGTGTACAGAAACCTCATGTCCGGGACCCTGCTTGTCTGTGCAAATGCCTCTCTCGAGCAAGTATATCGTATGTCAAACAATGTTCGACTTAAATACTTACAGCCCGAACTGCTCAATGGCGTCCTTGCCAGTGTAGAGCTCCGCAGCGATGATTCCAATGGCTGCAAACATGGCAAATCGGCCGTTGTTGATCTCCCTTTCCTGAACGTGCCATGTCAGGCAAAAACACAACAAACCAGCAGGAGACAAACATGGAGACATCCAAACAAAAAAGTGAGATTGTTTCTGAAAACAAGTGCTGGCCAAGGTTCGCGCATCTCCTGGTTGTACTGGTTGAGGCCGAGCGGGTCGCCGAAGTTGCCCGGCTCCTTGTCATCGCTCTCGGTCCAAGCAGCCAACTCGAGGATGCCGCTCAGGCCGAAGAGGGCCACGAAGCCATAGCTGCCGGGCGCAGTGATGGAAGCAGCAAGGCCGGAAGGCACAGAATCGAAGCCAGGGAACTTGATGTAGTGCTGCGCAACTGCACCCAGTGCTGCCATCATGGCCACACGGCCGTGCCTCACTGATTCGTTGATCCTTTGCGACAAGATAAACTTTTAGGATTTGGTAAGATATGTAATCAGTCTCAAGAAGCCCTAATGCTTGGAAACACCAAGGTGCTTGATCTCAGCGGCACGGAAGTTGCGGAAGCCGGCCTCATCGCCCTTCTTGCAGAAGCCAGCCGGGTCGAAGTAGCCGAGAGGATCCATGGCACCAATCTGGGTGGAGGGATCAAAGGAGGGGCTGCCGCTGCCCTTGCCTGCAACACCTTCGCCCTTGGAGAGGGATCCGGCGCCAGCAGAGCCGGCAACGGCGGAAGTGGTTGCAGTTGCACCCTTGGCAGCGGCGGCACCCTTGGCAGCGGCAGCGGCGCCCGCCTTGGCGGCTGCTGCTGCTGCAGCCGCAGACACAGGCTCTGCCCGTCGGGCCATGCGTCCTGCGCGCCCTGCAGCCACGGCTCCCACTCCGACGAGGCCCATCAAAGGCAGCACGCTGCCGGAGCCCTGAGGTGTTGGGGCCGCTGTGGCTCCGCGAAGGCTTGCCCCTGCATCGTTGCTCACCGCAGGCCCTGAGGCACCAGGCACGAAGGCCTGCGCGGCCACGTAGCCACCAGCCGCGATGCCGGCAGCGGCCAACATGGAGCTACGGGGAGCCATGACGAGGGAGGGATGGCTGATCGAGCTGAATTTCAAAATACGCTACGCAAACAGGCGGCCGCTCGTTTGGTGTTCAGCGTTTCTGAGGTGGACCCTCCTGCCATGTTGTCCCACGGCCCTCTTTCGTTGGAAGCCAGCACCGATGAAGCAAAACTCCGCTTGTTTATAGGCATGCTTGCCAGACACGCCCATGTCCCCACAAATGGCGGTTTGGGAAGACGATGTGAGAGCTCATTCTGCCCTATTTAAGCTTTGCTGTCCCTATCTTAAAATCATGAACCAAGCGGTAGGCTTCAGGGAATGGACGGTAAAAGGAAACCCAAGACAGCTTCTCAATTGCGACCAAAGGACCTTAAATCAGCTCCACCTCAGCTACTCGTGAAGCAAAGTCAACCAGCGAGGCGACCAGCTCCTGCCTGACTGCGAAGGGTTCCACAGCAACAAGGGGCTAGGCGTCAGCAGCAGCTGATCCCCTGGCAGCCGAAGTGGGATTCGGACAAACATGCGTGTGATGCAGTGTCGGGCTTCACAGACCCCAGAAGCCCTCAAAAAGGAATGTAAAGAACCCCTCCAAGGGGTTGGGCTTAACAGGGGGCAAATCGCCCTCCAATGAGGGCCAACGAGCTCCCGGCACTTAAAGTTTGAAGGGAGGTCTCTGAGGAGTGGCCCCTCGGATACTGTGCAGTTCGTTTCCCATAAGCGAACAAGAAGTAGAAACCACGATGCAGCGACGCTTGCTCAAGCCCGAATGAAGGGTGGTGGATGAACAGCAAAATCAGCAGCATGGCCCTTGGCCCTGATAAAAAATAGTCATCCTTGCAAGCCTTGCACCCCGCCCACGGTCGAATCCCCTCAAATTCTGCACACTCAAGCCAACAATATTGGAAGAAACAACCATGCAAGTCCTGTGCCAGGGTGATCTCCAAACTCATAATCATGGAACTGTTCGGGCTGTTTTTGCAGCAAACATCGAAGCGCCCTGACTCTGGCCCCATGCTGATAGTCCTAGGGGAGAAAAGGGGACCTCCAAACCCCTGCAAACCAACAAGGAAGCGCACACGCATTCGGTCACTCCGAAGTTTCACACCAACATGGAAGTGCATATAGGCTTGTATCAGAATTAGGACCCCATAAAACGGTGGGTTCCTTTTGTTTCCCTTTCAAACCAACCCGAAAAGGGCAACCTCGAAAAAAGCCAGCCCCAAGTCCACGGTTGTGTTGGTCGTGGACACATGCGCTTTGCAAGTGTTGTTGGCGAACCAATATGGCATGGGAGCTTCAATGATTGTTGGAACGGTGGAGTGGCCGCCCTCCCAGAAACAAGCCTTCTCAAATTGATTTGGCAGCAGTGCATTCCTCTGAGGGGGCCTGTGCACTAGTGCAGTTCCAATGAGGTCTCCAGCTTGTGGACGGCGCTGCAACATCGAGCACAAGATGATTCCATTTGGAAGTACGACAAGACCCCCCCCGCCTTCTGCGGGAAGACTAGGTTCATGGATCTTTGTCGAATGTGCTCTTGGGTACGGGGTGTCTAGTCACACGTGGAGCTGCACGCAGTCCGCGCTCTCCGGGTTCCCGGGTGTTGGGTTGCCCCAGGAGAAGCCAGAAATGGTCCCAGACGTTGCCAGCGTTGTCCGCCAAAGATTACATAAACGTGGAAGTGCACAGGCCCAAAAGACAGTACCCTGGGGAAATCATAAAAACTGGGTAATCCAATATTGTTTGCTGGAGGGTATGCGCAAAACTGCCCTTCTGAGCTCTGTGGAGTGATTGGGTCCGTAACCAACACATCGCTCAGCGACCAGCTCAATTCGCCCACAGCGCACCAGGCTCAAGCTCTGTGTCGTCGTGCCTGCACACAGTCGTTCCATGTGCGAATCGACCAACAATGTGCAGAATCCTGCAACTCTCTGACTTTCGCGGCCGGCAGCCTCCAGGCTGACTGGATTTTAGTCAGAAGGCTTCTATCCGCATCAATGAACCCTGCCACGCAAATGCTTTGCCTCGTGTTTGGAGCAAACACAAGATCCATTGGCAACGGAGTGGAAGTAAATTGCAAAAATATAGCCACAAAGTATCCTTGATTCACCCCATCCCACCGGCTCTCAGCGTGTCACCACCAATGACAAACACTGCCCAACCTTCCTGCATCAAGACCGGCGCGGATTGCTTCCAGCCAACAGTCAAACATATGGACCCGGACCTGCTTTGCCCTGTGAAGTGAAAGGCCGCAAAATGGTAGGCGTCTGAAACTCTACAAGGGCCTAGCACTTGACTAATCCACTGGCCAGGCGCCTAAAGATACCCCCGCGGCCAGAGCCATGGTCTCGCCCTCCCCCCTCCCCCACCCACCCCCCAGCCCCGCCGGAGGGTGAAAGCCAGGGCCATGGTCTCGCCCTCCAAAGGGCCGGGGTCTAGATACCTGCCGGAGATCCCGAACAGTCGGCCAATCCTCAGCCGCAATGCCAACTCGAGCCACGGATGCGCAACTCTAACTACAACACGCAACACACCTCAAAAAATGCATCCAACCATGGAAGCACAAGCATTCGAAAGCTCCCATCGCAACTGCCTTCCGACTCATGTTGCAAGTAGCTGAGACCATCTCTCAGTAAGGACCAAGTACCCAACAGGGTGGGCGCTGCTTCGGGAATGTGAATGTCCACCCATGAAAGACTTCATCACTTCAACTGGGATTCCCAGAAAGTTAATAACAATGATAATAATAATAATAAATAATAATCATAAATACTCATAATGATAATAATAATAATAATAATGATAATAAATAAATAAAAAAATTAAAAAAAAAAAAAAAGATGATAATAAATAAAAAAAAAATAATGCTAAATAATAATAATTATTAATAATAATAATAATAATAATAATAATAATAATAATAATAATAATAATAATAATAAATAATAATAATAAATACTAATACTAATAATAAAAAAATAATAATAATAATAAATTGTTTCCCTAAAGACGCCTGTTTTCGAGAGAACCACCAGGTGTTTTTTTTTTCCCCACCGTTCCGGCGAAAGAAAAAGCGCGTCCGCCTCGGGAGCTGCACCTCCAGCCAGGGGCAGCTGGAGGCGGGCGCCAGCACCTCGCCCTGGACCTCGGGTTCGACGCGCTCCACCCGCGAGGAGACACCCGGTTTTCGGGGTGGAGCCCGGTTTTCGGGGTGGAGCCCACATGTGGCCATGGGTCGAAATCCAAATCAGACCCCCAGTGAACATCCCAATCCCCACGAAAATAGACTAAAATGGGTGCCACAGCCACATGTCACAAGGGGCGGTCTCAGAGTAGACCCTCCAAATTGGAAGTTGTTTGGAGGGTCCAACTGAGTTCGGTTTCAATAACAATCAGTTTGGGAAGGACGGCGACTCGAATGATTCCTCAAACACATAGACAAATAAGGATCCTTTGCTACCCCAATGCTTTTGGTGGCATCTTTTTCAAGGGGGCCATAGAGGGGTGGCACTGTTTCTGAACAACCCTCACCTCGTAGAGGCTGTTGGGGGTTTGGGGGTGGCTGGTCTGTAGTTGATGGGTGTTTCCTACTTTGTGAGGTTCGAAAGCAAGTGCCTGGTTTCCTTACCTATCTTTAAAAACACCATCCGAATCGGGTCCCAATGGTTAGGCACCATTTTTTTGCTGGTCCAACCTGACACCTTGAGCACAAGTCCTCAAATTGGCCTCAAATTGGCCCTTCACCTCAAGGAGCAGGATCGAAAGGGTCATTGGTTGCCCCAACCCACCATGTGGGTGTGGGTCAAAATCAAACCACCAGCGGACCACAGGTTTTGGTCCATGTTACCACTTACTAGGGTTCCATTTTGGGTACCTATTTTTGACCCACAGCCATGTACTTCAGAGCCGTAGTGGATGGGCCAACTCCTGCACCAGGTCCCAGTTCCACCCCCCTTCACCCCAAATCCCACCTCCGCGGCTGCCATCTCCGAGAGCCCCTCCGACGAAAGCGAGACGTTCAGGCCACCCAGCCTCGGCTCTGGTCCGAAACGGGCACTTGCAGCTTGGCCGCTGGGAGTGTGACTTAACATCCGGATGACCTTCAGACTCAGGGACCCTCTTTGCGATAGATCAAAGGAGACAAGGGAACCTCCATTCTCATGTACCCGGCCCGTGCCCAACAAATGAACAACGACCGGTTCTGCATTGGTTTCTGCCAGCACTACCCGTGCACTGGCTCTAGCATGGTCAAAAGGTCGCAGTTCGATCGACCTGGACAAAACCTGAAGTGGAGCAGAAGCGTCCATGGACCATCACACATGCAAAAGCCAGGAAAACATCCCCTGAGCGGCAAGAGCCTTTCCAGTTCAGACCGCTTCTGCTCAAATTTGATCTCGAGATGCAAACACGTCCCAAGTATTTGGGAACAGACACACTTTTGTCCTGGCTTAGTCCCCAAACCCTGCAACCAGGCCGCTGCCCTGGCGCAGACGTGGCCAGCGCAAAGACCCGGAGCACCAGGTGATACCTCGCGAAATGGCAAGCCAGCCTTCGCATCAAACATTCGCAAGCCCACGCTACAAACATGGAAGCGCACAGACTGCCTTTGGGGAAAGTGCCCTGTGCACTTCCATGTCCGCTTTGGGGCTTCGGATGTCGCAGTGTGTTTAGACGGCATCCCATCCCCTCGCGAACTGGCGATCGGAATCTCGCACAACGCGCGACATGGCGACATGTGTGGGGAGCGTGCTCTGCCTCCGACATAGCCACAAGCTCCTCAATGCACCCCATGCGATGTCCAACCCTCCCGATGCCAGGCTGCTGCGAGCTCTTCCGCAGGCAGCCCAACTGGAGCTCGAAGCCGGCAGCCTCAGATTGAACATCTGAGCTGTACTCGCTGGTGCGATAGGCCGGGAACGAGTTGGAATGACCCAGAGAAAAACCATGCCCTAGGGTTTCCTTTAAGGGAATCCCCAGGTTTCATTCTCTCATGCCCTGCTGAACCGCAGCGAGTCTAATACCGGTGGCAACCTCTTCAGGTAACCGCGGCACGCAACCTGTGGTTGCAGCCGAGCATCGAAAACCTCACAGGACTCTGGCGCCGGCAGCGCCGGCAGCTCAGACAGAAATTGGCAGCCTGACTGGTCCGGCCCCTTCTGGCCGATCGCCTCCCAACCCAACTGCTTCATTGATTCACTCCCTTCCACCTCCAACTCCAACCGTTCCAAATCCCAAGGTGCTTGCAGATCCTGCCTTCTCCCCCAAGAGCTTTGGGAATCAAGTTCCATGAGGTCAACTTTTGGATTACGCTTTGCAGTGAGGCAATGAATGCGGCAATGGCGGCTTCAAAACATTCGCCCTGGTCCTAACATTTGTGGGAGGTGATGCCATGCAACAAAGAAAGCTCACCAAGTGGTCTGTTCAACAACCAGTTTCGCGTCTTTCAAGTGTAAAATGCCATTATGCCGTTCTTGGCTGCAGAGTAACTTCAAGAAGATGGAAAAAAGGCAGGTCCGCGCCCTGGGCGCCTTTCACACAACACAGATTACAATTTGCAGGGCCACTTGTCAGTTCCCGCTCTTTGCCGCATTTGGGCAGGGACACACCTCTTGCCTGCATGCTTCGGCTCTTAGTGACCAAAGAAACGGAGCTTCGGGCGGTCGCATCACCAGAGCTGCGGAAAGAATGGATCGAACCAGACCATGGACTCTGCAAAGGGAAATCTGGGGAAGCGAATGTCCAAAGAACAAACAGGTGATGCTTAGGCAACAGTGGCTGTGTTGACACGTCGAAACAGCTCAGTTGGCCTTCGCCCTATGCCCCAGGTCGGCCCGTGCTGTCAAACGACCTACCAAGCCCATAAGCCCTGCCCCTAGCACGACTCCAAGCAGCCTGGCAGGCTGGGCACATCTTCTGGGAGGCGCAAACTGGATTCGCTGAATTCCTGAGCGGAGATCCAACGCCTTGAGATCCATCAAAAACATAGATCCTTTGGCCTATCTCGCGTGGTGGCGCATTAAGCTCTACCCGGTTCCCCAAGACTCGGTGCGACGGGGTCACATCGCCTAGGCTGCAGCCTCAAGGTAAACCCTTCAGAACTTCACTGACGATGAATCTACCACAAGATCGCCCAAAAGTAGGACGCACTTGAACGCATTGCCGCCCTCAAAAACAACCCTACCGCCCTAAGGCCAAGCGGCCACCCTCAGCCGGCAGCTCGAGGCCCAGGTCGCTGCCGAGGTGTTGATGCTCAGCAGCAGCTCGGCGAGACCTGGCGCTGAGCAAGCCATAGAGCCGCGAAAGTGCGAGCTTGGCGGTCATCCAAAGTGAGAGACTTGAGTTTGTGTTTGCATGACTTGCACGTCAGACTGTCATGCAAGTCATGCCACAAAACAAAACATCATGCGCCAGGGAGGTCGATATCGTGCTTGTAACTGGCGACTCTGGCCTGCGAGCCCTTGTTTGATGGTCTTCAGGGGGGTGCTTGGGTGTCATGACCCCCTTGGATGCGGTGCCAAATTGCACCAAGATGCTGCTGCATTGGTGGTAACGTCTGTACAGGCTTCACAAATTGCAGGGCAGCCGTGCCAGCTTTAGATAACAAAAGGCTCAAGGGCCAAGCAATTGGCCCAAAATCAGCCACTTGGAAGGCGGAAAGTGTCCGATTTCTGGAAATCAGCGCTCTCTTTTTTGGAACATGCCTTTGCTTGTCTTCATAAAGACACAGTCTTGGCACATTTGGCACATTCATGCCACAAATGCTACAACGGGCCAGCAATAACAGCACTGAGACATGAGATTCAACATGAAGACAGCAAAAATCCGTGGATATAGACGGCTGTAAATTGATACAACCCGCCAGGCAGAAACGCCAGCAGCTGCAATCAGAGAATAAATTCAAAGCTGGCAGCTTTGGTCGCTGCGTGCGCTGAGAGGACTCCAACCCAAGAAGCTTCAAAGAACCTTCTCTCCGGGCCTGATGCATGAGTTCTCATCGAAGATTTCTGGCAGGGGGAGGGTGGGTTGGGTTCCGATGTTGTCTCTCAACCCACCACTTCCCCCCCCCCCAAAAAAAAAAAAAAAAACGAAATAAAACGGAAAAAGGCGATGGGCGCTGCGGAATCTCTGACCTTGGCACTTTCCAAGCCCCATCAGCGAACCCCCCCCCCAGGGCTGGCCTGGCGCCGCGGGCGCCAGCACAGCGCTGGCCTCGAGCGCCGCGGCGCCTGGCGGTGCCCGTTCGCCTATGGCCGGCCCGCCTTATGTCTGCCTTGAATCAAAGCACGAGAAGGGATACCAAGGTAAGAAAGGAAAAGAAATATCAGGCCTTACACCGTCCTACGGCCTCAGCTCCCTTCTCTCCACTGCATCCGATGGACGTGAGGAGTGAGGAGGTGGACAGTGGAAAGAGAAGGAAGGAAAGACTCACGAGCCAAAGGAAAAGGAATTTGAGTCTTTCATTATCCCTCTCCTCTCTATATTCCTTCCCCTTTAATAATCTTGGTATTTTGTAGAGTTAATATGATCCAGCGGACGGAGGAGGAGGCTGGAAGGAGTTGGAGTTCATGTGTCTCTTCTCTCTATCATTTCCATGTCATAGACTCAGCCAATGGCAAGCAATGAACGGATGAAGTGGTGAGAGGACGGATAGATGAGAGAGATAAAGGGACAGCTTCTTTTCATATCTATTTCTTTACCTTCGTTCACAAGCAATTTCTCCATCCAAATGAATCTCAGGAACAGAAACCCAAGGGGCCTATCCAAAACACCGAAAAGAAGGGGCGCAGGTCGTTTGATCATGGCTCGCGGTGCAAATGCGCAACAATATCAACACTGGAGCTTGGGTGACCCGAAATGGAGTCTAACAAATGAGTTCTAGGATGCTACACACTGGATAGTCTTTTGTGCAAGCTGGTTGGTTGTTACAACCCGTTTAAGGTCCCCTTAATTTTTTGCGCCACTATGCAGAACCTCATTGGCTTGCCTTTGAATCGAGGCAGAACTGCAATGGTCGCGTGGGTTGCCCTTGCAAAATCCACGGGTACACCATCTGCAGAAAAAAGGAGCTCGCATGCGTCAAAGGGTACTTGCTTGGGTTTGCTTTGACTTATCTGGATATGCCAATGCATCAGGGAGGAAGATCTCATGCAGCTTGGTTGAACACAAAGACCAGGCACGCTGCATGCCGTTGTCTTGCTTTTGCTGTTGAAGCTTCAAAGCATAGCGAAACCGGTGGAATTGCCAGCTTTCAGCCCATGCCGCTGGACCGCCGGATGCCTGTCAGCCAAGCTGCCGCCAAGGCCTGGTGCGGATGTCAGAAGAACTGAAAGGAGGAAAGCTCGGGGGCCCAAGAGAATCTTAGTGATACGAGTACTGGCCGCCCGGGCAACGTCTGCTGGAAATGTCAGCTCGGCCAAGACTTGATCTGCTGAGCATCTTCAAAGGAATGTCACTCTGATGTGCGTCACAAATCTGGATCAAACAACAATTGCTGCAGCAATATGCCACTAGCATCCTCATCAAAAAAAGCCTAGCCCTGAATTCAACCCACACAAGCGCACAGGAAAGCTCCGGACTGTTCCGTTGCCATGCCCAAAATGGTTTCAAGGTATCTATGGCTAAAGTTCTCAATCCTGTCAGGGAATGTCCAGGATTTCCCTGCTATTCCGCTAGATGAACACAAAGCTCTTCTCAGCGGCGGCCCTCCGTTTCTTTTTGAACCCTCCCTTCGACTTGAGTCTTTCCTTCATCTCTTGCTGGCGCTGGTGTGGCTACTTTTTAGGTGGGTTCCGCTCCCCCCCTTAAAAAAAAAGAAAAGAAGTGCTGGCGTCAATTCGGTTTTCCTTTACAACATCCGAAAGAAAATATGAAGAGCCCAGCAATTCACAAGTTGACAATGACATCTCACACGGCGTCGCCGAATTCTCAGCTGCCTTCCACATGGGAATCCATGGCGAATGCGCTGCTAGCATCTACCTTGAGCAGAAGCTTTGAACTTGAAGTGCTTCATCGAGCTGAAGTTGTGCGCTGACGTCTGCTCTGCAGTGTGGGGAACGCCCCGCAGATCACACTATGCAAGATCCGCTAAACACACATTCCGCTCAAGCCTTCCAAACATACTCTCAACTGCACTCCTTCCAGGTTCCACTTCCACAAGGTGCCACGAATCTTCATATTGATTCCCTTCAGGCTGCACGCAATGCATCATCGCATTGGTCGAGCTCTGTCTCTTCATGCAGTTTACAGAAAGACATTTCCCAACCGAGTCTCGGCCACTTGCGTTCCGCTTCAATTTTCCCATTCTTGCGAGATCTCTGCGGTCGCTCTCCAACCACAGGCCGGATGCATTTCTTGCGTCCCCAAGTTGAGCCGATTGGGTTGAGATGCGCGTTGTGCTCGCCTAGGTCTGGCTGGCGAGCTGTCCAAAGCAACTTCACCGTGGCTACCTCGACCATAGGCTTTGCGGTGTCCACAACTCATCTCGGTGCCTCCTCGCAAGGCTTGCAGAAACTGGCCAGTGCCAAAGTCCCTGGGAGACTCGCGGCGTGGCTGAAGTCAGCTCGGCGAGATGGTGGCAAGGCTCCTGGAAGCACCGAGTAACCCCCCCCCGGCCCAAAAAGAAACCCCCGCAAAGCACCAACCCAGGGCAAAGCTACCACGGCGCCTTTTTGCCTTTTTGCCTGGTTGCACAGGTGCCAGCGACAGAAGCGCATAAAACGCACCTTGCGCCTTAAAGAGCGGGACAGACTAGCGATTGCAAGGTGCGCTTAAGCTCTTAGAACAGACAACTGTCAGAGGCCCTGGCAGCGGACTCTACGAGTCCGTACAAAGAAGCATCTATGCAAGTTATGACAGGGTGATCATGTTTAATGAGCAAAAATCCAAATAAGGATTGTCAAAACTCTCACGACAACTCCCTGCCAACCCGAGCATGTACCATGACCTGGCCCGTTCAAGGTGAGTCCCTCCCAGGTCCGCATGGACAATGTTTAAACTCTGGGAAAATGATTTTGCACAACGCGGTTTTCACCGCATACCAAAAGAGAAGCAATCGTTCCCTTTCCCCCTCCTGATGACCGAACAGTGGCTGGCAAGCATGCCTTTGGCATGCTTTCAAACCCAACAAGGCAATGCAAACTGCGCCTTTGAACTTGCCGACTAAGTGAACTTTCAGTCAATCACTGGGTGACTGTAGCTGAATTCCATGCCACGATGCGGCTAGACTATGCCGCGAAATCTATAGCGTTGCCAGGTTGCCGCGGCTTGCGGTTCCCACTATGCCACCAACCTGGAAACCCCTATGCCGACTTCGCCGTCAGAGAAGCAAAGGATTTGGGATTTGTCGACTGCGAAGCAGTCGGGAAAACGAGCCACGGACAGTATTCTTTGTTCCCCATGAGGACATTGGAAAATTGGGTCTAAAGGCAAAAATTGAGTGAGCCGCCATGAATATCTGCCAGTTGCTCCAATGACTCCAATGCGTGAATGCATCCCAGCTGAGAACAAAAGCCCCAGTTGACAAGCGCGCAACACTCGAGCGGAATCCGGCTTCGCATGCTTGCCTAACTGGCAAGCGCGCGGCACAATTGTCCCAGAAAACAAGCCCCAAACAATGCAAGTGGACAAAATAGTTCAAAAGGTTGTTGCAGGCTCACTGTAATCCTTGGTAAGCTTGGTAGAAGAGCCTGGTCACTTGAGTTGACCCCTTGGCACTTCTCTGTCGGTCTGCTCTCATGTATGCGCACATCTCTAGCGGGCAACGTGATAGCTCTTCCTGTGCGCCGGTCATTGTCAGAGCAATTCTAGGCAAAGGCTCTCCCCGCGGTACTGGCCACGATTTCCCTGTATCATAAACCCAGTGGACAGGGCACCCTCATGCATCTGAACAGCGGGACTTTTCTACCAAGTGTGGCAACATCTTGAGAGAGGGAGCAACATCTTGAAAGAAGGAGAGCGAGAGAGAGAGACCGCCAAAGCTGCAACTGGCCGGCCGCCCTTGAAACAAAAACTTCACGAGCGGCGAACACTCACACAGCCGGCAGACCTCACTGCCACAGCCGGGAGATGACCGCAAAAACAAAGGCCCCCAGGTAGTACCCGAGCTTGGCAACATTGGACACATGGAGTCTCACCTGAGCAAGTGAGGCTGTAGGGGCAGACCCAAAGGGGACAGGTGAGATGCTGTGGTCTTGATCGAAATGAGTAGACAACGCCACCTGCGGGGGAGGCAAGGAACGCAAAAGAATTGCATGGGCCCTTGCCTAAGCATTTGTTTGCAAAAGCGCCTGTACGGAGGTTGTCCAACTGCCGCAGCAAAGGTCTGCCAAAGTGGGGTGGCATTTTTGCTAATGGGGAGGAAGCCACCAAACCGTCCATCACCAAGTGGCGCCGTTCATGTAAAAGCCGGCTTCACTCTGCTGGATGTACTGTACCACATACTGCCGCTCAACGTCCATCCATCTCGATGAACCCTCCTAGGCGGAAAGGACCACTCCAAGCGCTCAAACATGCCACAACTTTGAGGGCTCCAATATCCGGTTGCCCTTTTAGTTGACATGGTTGCAGAATGATTCCTCATGTTCGAATGGACAAGTGCCCATCACACCCCAACCCCAACCCCCAACCCAACCACGATGGTTTTTTGGGGGGGAGGCACTACAATACCGTATGTTGCAGTATGTCCTAACAAGATGCACCTGTTATACATTCACACTGGCAGCATCCCCTGCATCGTTTTTGACACCCCTTGCATCGCTTTTGACACCCCCAGCATCGTGTTTGACACCACGAGCATCAATTTCAACACCCCGAGAAGCTTTGGTTTAGGCTGATTTCAGGGCGGATTCAAGGTTTGCTTAGGGTGGGTTTGGGCGGGCTTGGGTTTGGTTGGTTTAGGTTGGACCTATACAAACCCATTTGGTGCTGGTTCAGGGTGGGTGTTGTTGCTTTGGGGTGGGTTTAGGGTTCGTACAGGGTTGGCTTGGTTGCGGCTGCTTGGTGGGTTTAGGGTGGCTTAGGATTGGTTTAGGGTGGTCTGGGGTCGAAAGGCCATGACCCGGCCCGTGCCACCCCGCCTCAAAGGTCCAGGAATTCACCAGCGGCGCTACCCGCGAGGCCTTAGCCGTCACGTTGGCCGCAAGCAGCATGGCGTACAAAAACAGGAGCACCGGGCAGAAGAGCCACCCGCAGAAGAAGAGCAGGTGCCAGCCCACCTCTTTGTTGCTGCTTTGCAAGGGGGAAAAAAACAACTGAAAACTGCAAAATAAGTTTACGCCTATATAATCTTGGGGATGCATACCTGGGAGTTTCTCAAAATGGGATTCGGACCCCCTTGTGGGTGGTTTTTCAAGGAAACCAAAAAGAAACCGTTGCCATTTTAGGGGACGCCGTTGTTTTTGATCAGCGCCAACCATTTTTTTGAGGGCCCAGTGGGGGCCTGCGATGCCTTCTCGAAGAAAGCATGCTGTTGATTTGGATGGATGTGGGCCCAAAAATGGTTGGCACTCAGCAGCTCAAACGTTGATGCCTTACGGCTGTTGAAGTTTGCATGAGAATTAGCTGAAGAATTCACCAAGCTTCAAGCCCAAAAGGACACCTATGATCGGTCCCATCCCTATCCGCAGAAGCAGGGCTGGAAAGCGGTTGGTTGACAATGAATCCCCTACATGATGTCCACCAAGAAGGGTCCCCTTTCGTAGACTCCATGCAGAGCGGGTTTTCGCCTGAAAATCGTGCGGGCTTATGAGCACACGCTCCAAGAGGAGCAGCAAGGAGAGGCCGCAGGTGGAGCCCAGGATCGCGAGTGACTGGCTCAGCTTGTTTGAGACTTGGCGCATTGTGGCCTGCACCACGTTCCACTCCTCCAAAGCCTGAAACACGTGTCGTTGATTTGGGGCCCGAAAATGGGTGGAGAGCTAGATGGGGATAAAGCTCGTCTTTTTGCGCACGCAGATCGTGGCTGATACACATCAGCAACAAGCAGGCAGTCTGCGGTGTCGCTCCTTCCATGCTGCCAACACGTGACCTGTATCCGCCCAGTGCCCATTCAAGTCCAAGCCCTCCGGGCCTGTGGGATGTTCAGCTCCTTGTAGAAGTTGATCGTGAAGCCTTGACTTGTTTCTCTCATGGCTTACAAAAGAAACGAACAACAAACACCTAGCTGCCAGAGTCAGTGTCAGCGTCAATCAGCGTTCTTATGCAAGTCTAGCGTGCCCGTCTCCGAGACTAGACAAAAGAAGCAAAGTGTTGTCACTAGCTCATAGACTGCCTGAGAAGTGGCCATACCCTGTTCAAGGTTTCGCTGTTCCAATAGAACACAAGTGACCAACCCAAGCGACCGCACATGCGCGAGTGGCTGCATGCGGACAAAAGTTACTTGTTCCCGTTGCCCCCCAGTTTTGTAGGTCCTTTTTGTCCCGCCCTCCCCCATTTCCTCCCCTAAACCAACACCAGGTCCTTCCCCCGGCTCTGGGGTCTCGGCTGTCGATGGCCAGCTCCAGCCCGGCCACCAGGTGCAAATGGGTGTAGGACAAGGCGCCCAGGGACAGAGCCACCGCCGAGTGCACGCCCGCGGAGAACTCCTCCCAGGACTCCAAAGTCTGCAGGTCCAGACAGCGACACAGAAGCATCACCCCCAGCGGCACGCAGGTCTGCTGCAGCCGCCACTTCGACAACCGCCTAAGGCTGGGCTTGCCAAGGTAGCCAAAATAGATCTCCGGCAGATGGGGTACGGGGAAAAGACGGGCTAGGATGTTCCCTAAACACCATGTTCCTCATTTTCACAAGCATCCCCGCAGTCACTCGCAATGTGTGTCTACCCAGTTTATCTTAGAGCATGTTGCCAGGGGAAATGCCGGCGGGCAGGGCAGGCGCCTCTTCCAACTTTAGCTACCAACCGAACCAAAACAACGGCGTCGCGCGCCTCCAGTCGCGCAGAAACCCCACCCTCCTGGCATAGTCTTCCAGGGCGTTGGGCCCCAGCAGTGCCTGAACTCCGCTCGTGTGCAGGGTCAGGGTGGCCCCCGCCACGCCCAGCGCATGGCAAAGCGTGGTCAGGACCATGTAAGGGTCAAAGGTGCCCGGCAGGCTGAACCAAAACAGGCATCCGCCTCAGTTTGCAACAAGTCCACCGATGTCCACCGATAAACCCATTCAGTCGGGCGACGTTGCAGAACGCGAGCCCCTCTCCCTGAACCGTGCAATGCGTCATTTGGGGGGGGACTCGGTTGGACGTTTGGTGCTGCCAATACTTGGCCCCCGCTGGAAAACTGGTTTTCGACTGAAGCCTCAGTCTTTCGATCCGCATTGATGCGTCCAACTGTGAAAAGACAGCGCCTCCTTCTCCAGCGTCTTCAAGAGGCACGCAGTGGCCAACCACAAGCAGGGTTTCCTTCCGCAAAGACGCGTTCCGGGCTCATCGTCAGGCTCGGACGGGCGCGCGACAGGATCTATCTTTGATCGACGTCGCCGGCAAGGCGCGCACACGACATCTCTGCGCACGTCGGTCTGCCACACTGCGCTCAGGAACGCTTTCATCGTAGCCCTAAGAAAAGCAATGATATCACGGCAACTAGACCACAACAGCCAATCATTGTTTTTTCGTGCTGAAAATAAATTTAAATGAAACTCGCTTTCGCCCGGAAGCTCCTCGAATGCCATCTTGCATGGACGCCAGCAAGCGGTAGCGGCACAGCTGACACATTTCCCACGTCTTTCATAAGGAGGACGGCTACTTTGAACTGTGGGCCGTGCTCCTCCATGGCCAAATGCCCCACAAACCCCCAAACCCCCAAACCTCGCCAAGGCGCTGAGGCTCAGCAGGCTGATTAGCAGGAGCACCTGCCACAGCCTTCCCAGGCGCGCGCAGGGCCAATCCAAGATCCCCACCAGGCGGAGCCACAGCTTGGCCACGCCGGTCAGCGCGCCGGCGACGTCGTCCTCAGCTCGCGAGAGGCAGTAAAGTAGAAAAAGGGGCCACCGGAAGCAACACAAAGGGTGCAAGACGTTGAGTGCCTTTGCCACCAGAAGCAAACAATTAGCCAAACGATTGCACTTCAGCAACTGTCGCCACCTTGTGTGGCTGATGGCTGTCAAAAGGAGACTACAAGCTGCGCCACCTTTGATTCTTGGACAAAAGCACGCCCACCAATAAGGCACAATCTCAACACATACATTCATACATACATACATACATACATACATACATATATATATATATATATATATGTTCACCCGACCAAAGCGGGCACATGAAATGACAAGAAAGTCTCCGGCCAGATTCATGCGCCAAGCCTCTGTCTGCCCCCCTATGGCTCGCGTCGAGTCGAGAGGTGTGGTTTTCGCGATGACAGCGTCGTGGTTGGCCCTTGCGACGGCTGTGAACCGCGGCTGTCTAGAGTCTAAACCCCACAGGTTCATAAGGGACCCTCTTGCTGAGATCTACGAAGCCGCTTTGGGACCAAGCCTCGTGTTTTCAGAAACTGGGATGCGCAAGCAGCAGGAATGGCTCTACTAAACTAAATTCACCAAGTCAGTGGGCTGTCAGCTTCTGGGGAAAAACCCACATCCCGCCTCAAATCATCCAAGGACATGCGGCGGCACTGGGCTAGAACCCCCCGCTTGTCGCCCACCGGGGTGGATAATGCCGCCCCCAGCGTGATCGCCGGGTTCTTGACTGTGGAACACGAGTCGTCAGAACCCAACTCTGACTCCTCAGACGACGAGCTCGCGTTGTCTGACTTCTGGTTGAAGGAAAAGCTCCTGGTGTTGATGCAAATGGCATACAAAAAAGGGAAACACTCGCACTTCCAGAATGAGCCTTACTCACATCTGAAAAGGGAGTGCCATCTTTCCCTCTTGTCCTCCTTCCACTTTCCCTCTATCCCTCTTTCCACTTTCCAACTTTCCCTCGTTTCCTCTTTCCCACTGTCCCTCGGTTCCTCTTCTCTCCTTCTGTCTTTCTCTCTTTCTCTCCGCCTCTCTGTCCCTCTCTATCTCTGTCTCTCTCTCTCTCTCTCTCTGTCTCTCTCTCTTTTCCCTCTCTCTTGCTCTCATTCTCTCTTTCGCTCTTTCTCGCTTTCTCTCTTTCTGTCTTTCTTTCAATTTATCTTCTCCCTCGTTCCCGCTTTCCCTCTTTCCCTCGCTCTCTTGTTCTTTCTCTTATTCTCTCCTCTCTCTTCCCTCTTTCTCTCTCGCTCTCTCTCTCTCTCTCTCCCTATCACTCTCTCTCTCTCTCTCTCTTTCTCTCTTTCTCTCTTTCTCTCTTTCTTTGTTTCTTGCTTTCTCTCTTTCTCTCTTTCTTTGTTTCTCTCTTTCTCTCTTTCTCTCTTTCTCTTTCTCTCTTTCTCTCTTTCTCTCTTTCTCTCTTTCTCTCTTTCTCTCTTTCTCTCTTTCTCTCTTTCTTTGTTTCTCTCTTTCTCTCTTTCTCTCTTTCTCTCTTTCTTTGTTTCTTTCTTTCTCTCTTTCTCTCTTTCTCTCTTTCTCTCTTTCTCTCTTTCTCTCTTTCTCTCTTGTTCTCTTCTCTTATCCCTCTTATCCCTTTCCTTCTCTCCCTGGCTCTCTCTTTCTCTCTCCTCTCACTTCCCACTTTCTCTCTATCTCTCTCTGTCTCCCTCAATCTCTCTCTATCTCTCTCTTTTGTCGTTCTCTTTGTCTCTTGCTCTCCTTTTCTCTTTTCCTCTTTTCCTCTTTCCGTCTTTCCCGCTTTCCCGCCTCTTTCCCTCTTCCCCTCTTTCCCTCTTTCCCTCTTCCCTCTTTCCCTCTTCCCTCTTTCCCTCTTTCCTTCCATCTTTCTCTCTTTCCCTCTGTCCCTCTTTCCCTCTTTCCCTCTTTCCCCACTTTCCCTCGATTCCTTTGTTTCTCCCTCTATCTGTCTCTTTGTCTCTCTGTGTCTTTGTCTCTCTTTCTCTCTGTGACTCTGTCTCTTTGTCTCTCTTTCTCTCTGTGTCTCTGTCTCTTTGTCTCTCTTTCTCTCTTGTCTCTGTTTCTCTGTGTCTCGGTCTCTCTTTATGTTGTTCTCTCTGTCACTTCTTCTTCGTCTTCTCTTCTTCTTCTTTTTCTTATTATTATTATTATGCTTCTGCTTCTGCTTCTTCTGCTTCTTCTTCTTCTTCTTCTTCTTCTTCTTCTTCTTCTTCTTCTTCTTCGTGAGACCACGCCTCTTGAGCAGCATCGAGGCCGTCTGCTGCTCCAAGTCATCCATGCTTGCCACGTGATGACATGCAGACCGCCTCTGGCCAGAGACCCGCGAGCGGATGGTGTCGGATCTGTGCGCCATCAACAGCGAAGGCCGTTGACTCTCCTTCCCCATCTCCTTGGGCACAAGCTCGTTCACCTGGCATTGAGCGCGACGACTCAAGCCGAGCGCGTTGACTCAAGCCGTGTCTGGGGCACGTTGGCGAGAAACTGCAAGTCCAAGCACCAAAATATTTACGTTGCACCACCCAAGTGGTCAGCATTGGCCATGGTTTGGTTTGCATAGTTCTGCCCTACAGGTTCAAACTAGGGCCCTTGTGTTGGACTAATGCATGTTGCAAATGGTCTACTTCGGCTCTGATCTACTTCGGCTCTAGAGACAACTTAAGAGGCGCTGTCCAGTTTAATCGACGACTTGATACACTGGTCCGTGCCTGCAATCTCTACTGACATGGAGGCCTCTTTGAGAAGGCTCTTCCACCCATCAACTCACGAACCCGGTCAACCGGACTCCAGGGTCAATCCCACCTCAGCAATCTTGGCTTCACCCCGCGCCTGGCCAGGCACCACCGACATCAGCGGCGGCTCCCGCGCCGGCCGCGAGGGCTTCAGCAGGCTCGCGCAGACCTCCTGCTGGGAGGCCAGCAGCGAGGCCTGGCGCATGGCGCGAGACGACTCAGACGGCAGACGGGTAGACGGGTCTTCGAGTCACGGAGCCCAGAGCGGAAAGTAGGAAAAGTGGCAATGGCGCACCCACCCTTTACATATTTGGCTGAGTTGTGGTGGCCTGGTGTATGGCAACCATCTGACATGTGCCTTGACCCAGCATGATTCCGAAATGTGGGACGAAGTGTTTGGGCATGGCCTAGAAGGATGTAGAAGTGTTTTCAAGACTTGATGCCAGTGGAGGCAAACGAAAGCTAGCGGCCTCGCAAGGGCGACCCTGGCTCGCTCTTAGGGGTTGACAGGGGAGGAACTTCAAAAGAAGAAAGCGATTTCAAGGAACAGTCCACAAAACACAGAGTGAGAAAAGAGTTGAGCGAAGGGCGGCGCGAAGGGCGGAGAGAAGAGTGGGCAGAAGAGCAGAGAAAGAACGGAGTGAAGAGATGGGAAGAAGCGGAGCGAAGATTGCGAAGAGAAGAGCGCGACGAAGAGTGAGCAGAAGAGTGGAGAGAAGAGCAAAGAGCCGAGCGAAGACTCGGGAGAGGTGGGGAGAGAAGAGTGAAGCAAAGTGGGCAGAGCCTTGCGGGCGGACCAGGGGGGAGTCAAGCCTGCGAGGAGGGGCAGTAAGCAGACAAAAAGCTGGGAATCACTTGCTAAAGCAAGAGCAAGCTAGCCTGCGTGAATAGACAGAAACGCAAATGAAGTTGCCAACAGGTGGGTGGTGTCCAAGCATTTGGAGAAATGGCCCAAACAAGGAACTGACACCATAATAGTGACGGTTATTTTTGCAGGTCCCCATGTCTCATGCAAGGTTGGAGCAGGCAATCCCCGGCATCTTTGCTCACCAATAGCCTGCTTACTTCACGTTCCCTCTCTCCCGGTGCAAAGGTAGCACCAAATCTGCTGGCCTGGAGCTCGAACATATGCTGCGAGAGCTGTGTGAGGCCATCCAGCCTCTCCTGAATGCTTTCCAGAGTCACCGCCTGGGCCGATGTCGTGGAGGCCGGGCCCAAATCGGTCACCGTCGCCAACATCTCCCGGCCCAAGTCGGTCTCCGTGGGCATGTCCATGGGGTCCATTTCGTCGGGGTCCATCGAATCGCAACCCATCGAATCCCTTTCCAATCCCCGGCTGCGCCGGTCTGAGGCTCTGAGGGCCTTGGGCCACTCAACGGCCTCAAAGTGGAGCTGCGTCAGAGGGATCCTTCACTCAATTCCGGCTAGCTGGCCCTTCTTGGCCCCATGTTTGTGCGTAACACCCAGGAAAGTCACCACAATGTTGGTATGAATCCTGGGTTCAATGAACTTCTGGACATGAATGAATCCCCACCTAAACGATGTCTCCCTAAACTCACACCCAACTAGAAGCCCCAAGCGAGACCCAAATTGCAGCTTCGGTAGCTCGTTTGAGCATAATCAAGGTATTAAAATGGCCTACCAAGAACCACGTACTCTGGATGAAAACTCTTCGCCACGAATAACTTCAAAAAAAAATGAGCACTAAAAATCATCCCGTCCTTCAGGGTTCCGTTGGAAGGGTACATGCAAAAAACCACCCGCTTGAATCAGCTGGCATTCGTGCCTTGGTCACTGCTTAGCCCCTTTTGTATCGCAGGGTCCTGGACGGCGCTCATATGCGCCACCTGCGCCCAGCTCTTGCCGTCGCGGTATTCGACGCAGGATTCACGCGCGCCATGGCCGCCAGGCAGGCCTCGCAGCATCGCTGCTTCTCTGGGTCGGTCTGCCGATGTTTGAGGCTCGCCACCCTTGGGGTTCGTTGAAAGGGAAACCAAAAGGCCAATTTGCAGACACACCCATTTGACAAATTTGAGGGCCCCAGAAACCAATGAAACATGTCCAAGCGGCGGGTGGTCCTCTGTCCAATAGGGCGCCAGCTTTTCGCGCTCCGCCACGGGCCTGGCGTTTTTTTTGGGACCGGTGTTTGGTCGGTGTACGAAGGAAACCAAGCCTGTTGGTTTTTAAGGGAAACCAATGGTTTTGGGAAGCGATCGCAAGAGATCGCAAGACAAATGGGCTCCAAAAGTTCCTCTCTTTGTATGTTCCGCCACAGCCCCTCTGCGAGTGGCTGTAGCGCAAGGTCCCAGGCGACCCATCCCTTGATGTAGGCCTCTTCACGGGGCCGCAGCAGGATCTCTGGCATGGCACGGGCAAAGCACAAAGCAGCAGGGTATTGCGTCTCGCAAACACACTGGGCAAGTTGCCGACACTTGCTCAGCTTTGTGGGGGATTGCAAGGTATGAAAATGTGGGCCATATGCATGTGCACTCCTTTGCTTGAGTCAGCCAGCGAGAAGCGAGGCAGGGCTCGGCTCAATGCGTCCTGCAAAGAAATCACACTTACTCATGTCGACATCTCCAATGTAAAGCAATTCTCTTGTAAGAAACACCAAAAAAACGAATGGAACATCAAAAGTCACCCGGCGACCCCGCCCAATTTTGCTGTTCCTTCGTGTGCGTCTTCAAATCACTCACTGCACGCGGCGCCGCTTCAGGAGAGACTGGCTTCCCAACAGCCCCAGCACGGGGGTGTGGCAGACCGGCGCCGGTGTGAGAGCATCCGCCTTCCGTTTTGGAAGGCTCTGTGGCGTCACCAACTCAGGCGCTGAGATCTGCACTCGCGGGGCGCGCGTGCGCTGCACTGGAGTCGTCTGGGGCGGTGCTGGCAACGACTGGGTGGGGGCCCGGGCAGCGGCCCGGGCACGGGGACCCGTGGGCGGCGCAGGTGCGACGGCCACAGCACCTGTCACGGACGGTGCCACACGCTGCTTCGCCCGCTCGATGGGCGCAGTGGGCGCAGGCGCCGCACGCTTTGGCGGCGCTGGGGGCTCCTCGCGCTTGCAGGCGCGGGGCGGCTGCTGCCGCCGTGGCGGCATGACACGCTCAGCCTTGACTTTGGGCTGAGGCGTTGGCTTGGGCGGCTCCTCTCGCACTGGCTTGCAGGCGCGAGGCGGCTGCTGCCGCCGTGGCGGCAGCGGCTTCGGCGCACGCTCAGCCTTCACTTTGGGCTGAGGTGTTGCCTTGGGCGGTGGGGGGGATGTGATTGGCCTGAGCAGCGATGCAGGAAAAAGAACAGCACTTGGACTCAAGCTTGCTCATAAAAAGCTTTCGGGTGACGCAAGCCACAATGAACAATGCGATCCAAGCATCGGAGGCAGGACATCCAGGTTAACGGCAGCCATGTTGACACAGCCGTTTGGACGCCACATTTCCTTAAAGGCAACGATTGTGCTTGATGGGACACCACCCGTTTGCGGCAACTTGTCAGGCATGCTTCAAAAAAATAACATGGGTCGGGTGCGATTTCCAACTGGTGTTGCTGATGTTTCGATCAAGCTCTCTTCTCCAACACTGCCAGCTCTTCAACTGTGCAGAACAAGCACAGTCACATCAATCGCCGCGCCTCCTGCCATATGTGGGGGCGATTTTTCCCGATCAAATCGCCAAAGCGAAGCTCTGAGGGGCTCCTGGTGGGGTGCATCCCAATTCGCTCAAAGACTGTGGCTTTACATTTGGGCTTGACCAAATGGCCAGTGTTCTTTGGGTTCTCTTTACACAAACCCAAGAGATGGGCCAACTGATACAGGCCATTCCTGCTTGCGGGGAAGGCTCTTTCTTAAGTTTGTTTGGGGGTAGGGGGCCTGCGGGAATCTCCAGCATGTCATAGATTCGTTGTGTTTAGCTGAATTGGGTGGAAGGCACCAGCCACCGCTTCACACCTCTGTCCTCCTGACGGCGTCCGCTGCGGCGATCCGCTTCTCGAACCGGGCCAAAGGCGTGGCGCCCGTCTCGGAAAGGCTTCGGGTCTGGCTGTCGGATCAAGCTCCGTCGACTTTGGGTTCCAAGAGATGGCGTGTCAACATTGATATGTCGGCCTCACAACTTCACCCTTGAAGTGAAGCCGGGCGGCAAAACGAGACGAAACACACGCGGGGATTTATGTCCCACCAAGCACTTGTGACGGGGGTCCCTCTAAAAATCGAAGCCAGAAAAACGGAAGTAATGAGCACCCCGCGCACATGGGCCTAGCAACCCACCGCCTTGCGGATGACAAGCAAGAAGGAGCCATGAACCATAACTGCGCCACACCACAGCCATTGCTGGGATTAGGTTGCTCAGCTGATCACCAAAAAACCCTGAGAGGTGTCTCAATTGCCACCAAATGGCAACCTCTGGCCATAGCGGGCCGCCATGATTGAAGGGAACGAGCTCCTAGCGAACCGAACTTGGCGCTAGGCATGGAACGCAAAGCCCAGCATCTGCAAGGACAGCACTGGCAGCAACACTGCAGCTTGTCCAGCGTCTTCCCCTTTTTGGGGCAACCCTTTTTGGGCGTGAGTTCTTGGGTTTTCCACTATAAGACAAGCCGAGTTTGAACAATCTGGGCGCGTCCTCGGGGGGCAAAAAGCTGCCGTCCGCTTCGTGAAAGCCCATTGCGCTCCAGAATTTGGGCGCCTTGCCATTGGGTGCCTCACAGCGAGCTTGGCGCTCCTCTTTGTTCAGCACCGAGCCCCAATTGGGCAGCTTTGGGCCCTCCCAAACTGATGATGAATCCTGGCTCAAATGGCTATGAACTCAAATAGAATCACCTCATACTTTGTTGGCGGACATGAAGCCCAACCTAAATGATGTCCTCGATGAACAAAAACACACCCAAGTAGAAGCCCGAGCAAAACCCATGTTGCAGCTTCAGTAGCCCATTCTTGAAAACGCTTCGCCGCTTGGAGATAAACCAAGTCAAAGGGAAATCGCAAATCCACATGGTGTTGTTGATTCTGACTCTGGTTGATTTATGCAGCAGCCACGAGCCAGGTGCCAGTTTCGGGTAGAGTCTGCCAAATCCCCCATTAAAAATAAAAGAACCAGGAAAGATGTCCACACCTTGTAGTTGGGACTGTCCACCCCTCAGGTCTTGATCTCGGGGGGCCTGCGGCCAAGCAGCCGGATAGAGCGCCAAGACATCAACTCCTGGCGAGCTTTGAGTTTCAAGGAAGTTGGAACCCTGCACACCCTCCAACTAGCGTTTGCCTTCAAAGCGACCCCCAGCTCATTCCAAAAACCCTCCGACCAGAGCAACGGCTCGCACCGGAAGTCGAAAACAGCTTGCGTTGTCGCTGCTGCCAACTGACATGAACTGGCGCATCGCCAACTCAAACAGGGCCGTTGACTCTTCTCGCCCCAAGCGCTTCTCGCCCCAAGCGCGGCAGTTATGAGCTGAAAAATGCAAATCTTGACTTTAGGGGGCGGCCCTTGTTGGTTTCAGCAAAACTCTAGGTGGTGTGATCTGGGCTCGTCCAACTCGCTCCTTCCCGAAGCAGCAATTCCTCCACTGCCCGGAAAAGCATGCGGCCATACCCACGGCGCTCCTGCGACCGGGACGTTTGAATGAAAACATTGCCAAAAATGAGCACATAGGCTTGCACTGCAACGCAACCAACAGAGCCTGAAACCTGCTACGGAATCCGGATATTTTGAAAACCGCATGGAAACTCCTGAGTGGGTCTACCAAGCTTCCTTTTATTCCCTGGTGGGATGCCTGAGAAATCTGTCCACTTTTCAGGTTTCGCCAGGTTTCCCACCCTGTCCACGCATCTGATGTTCACGGATGCGAAAAAGCATGCGAAAATGGCCGAGCGTAACATTTAACATGTCAAGTCGCCCAAATCACTTCAAAGAAGTCCTAAAAAAGCATTGAATCTCCCTGTCCCTGCACGTTTCCAGTGGAAGGATGTACGTATCCCAAAAAACTCCTTCTTAGAGGGGGGGGTCCTCCGAATCAGCTGGCACCCGCATGATTTTCTGAGTGGCCCGCTTTTGCATTGTGGGGCCGTCCTGTGCGGCGCTCATATTCGCCACCTGCACCCAGCTCTTGCGCCACCCGATGTACGGATTCACGCGCAGCGTCACGGCCGCCAGGCAGGCCTCGCGGAATCTGGCCCCTGACTTGGCGAGGTGTGTATGTGTGTGTGGGTCTGTCCCTTCTCCAGGCTCCCTTCTTGGGGTTGTTCAAAGGGAAACCGAAAGGAAACCACAGGCCCATTTGGGTGTGTAAACATAGTGTGCCTCACGGCAACAAGGCAAATAAAGGAAATATGTTGTATGAAGCTACGATCAATATTCATTGCAAACTTTATTTGGATTGGAGTAAAACGCCCCATTCCTGATTCCATGTCATCCCCCTTACCACGGCTAACGACGGTACATGTTGACCGTTGCTCATGTAGGCCTTACTAAAACTACCACAACACCAGGTAGACCCACCTAAGACGGCTTTGCCCTTTTTGTGAAAATCACCCCACCTCGAGAAAACCTTTGTGAAGCCAAAAGGTGATGTCTAGTTACCAAGGAAACAAGTACAGATTCCGGGTATCAAGTCCAGGGGCCCGTGTCCCCTACCCGGCAGGCCTGATCGGACGTCAGAAGAAAGCTCCTCCGCACGGGGGCCCCAAGTCCGAGAACGAAGGGTCCAAAACCAGACGACGTGTTGTTTTTTCCACAAACGGGTGTGCCTCATACTGTGGATGGACGAAATCCTGCACCAACAAAGAAACCCCGGGATGCTTTGATTCCCGCGCAATGCCAAGGAAGACATGTTTCCCATGGTTTCAAAAGTGGTGCAGGATTTCGTCCATCCACAGTCTGCAATTGTTTTGGGGAGGGATATGGTACCAACAGCGCTTCTTCACGGCTGAGTACAAGGTAAGTACATAGATGCGCTCCTGCAGCGGTGCACTTCGAAATTCCAAAGTCGCTCCTTCACCTGGACAAGACTGCATGCCCCAAAGCAAGCATGCGTTTTCCCAAGAAGAACGCATCGGGTGTAGCATGCGTCTCGGCGCCTATGGCCTTGAGCGTTTATGTCAAAGTGGTCCCGTAAGATGGTTGGCTTCCTGTGTGTTTTCCTTAAACTACCGACCAGGAACAGGTCGATTCACCACTTCGGCAAGCCACCACTTGACTCGCCGAGCTGCGAAACCTTCCTCGCGGACGAAGGTCCCTGTACCCATGTGGCACTTCAAAGCTGCTTGCCTCCCTTCTTCACTGCTCACCTGCCGTCGCAGGCACACTAAATCGCCGCGAGGTTTTACCAAAGTTCCAGTTTATAACTTTGGTAACCACCGGAAACAGTCAAAATAGTGACCCTGGACGGGTGGTCATTGCTCGTACCTTCAAAAAGGGGTTAGGCCCCTCAACCTCGACATTTCTCTCAGGGTGTGGGGTCTCCGGTGACAAGCAACGATATGCGCCCACCCCAACCAAGCAGCCAGCCAGCCAACCAACCAACGAACCAAGCAGCCGGCCGTCCGCGACGAGCCTGACTATGCCCTTCGCAGGCTCACCATCTTTCGTGCCATCACACACACACACACAGACACACACACACGCCAGCGCGCGCCCTTCCCGCGCCCTAACACGCATCCCTTGACTCAACGTGACAAGCAATGCGCAGTTGCCTGTTTGTCCAGCAATCCTGCGGGACACTTTGCAAAGAACAAGCTACTAAACGCTTCGGCTAAATGACGAACGATTTGTCCATCAGAGCTGCTGTTGCCCTGACATGGATTCAAGTTGGGGCTTGCGCACGCGCACATAAATGGGAGATCTCGACACGATTGCAAGAGGCCCAATACCTTATCCACTCAGGCAAGTCGACGAGAACCACCGGCCCACGAGTTCGCCCACTTTACAAGCGCGAACAAGGCACGGGGGCGTGCGCGCGGCATTTCGGGCCCCCTCCACAGCCATTTCCGCGCAGCACAGCCACGGCACGGTCCCAAAAAAGATCGGAAACACAGCACGGCCCCGACACAACCACAAAGCGGCAGCGGTGCGCACATAGGAGCGTCCCAAATGCCAATATAGTCACGTCAGCCCTGCATTGTTTCCTCGCACATAGACTCAATAAGTACACAAGAATCAAATCATCAAACATGTTTCTGTGAAAAACCAGACCTATGGGAAACAAACGCTCAAAGCCTTGAAAAATCTGCTCCACGATGACTCGGGCGAATCTCGGATGCCTCCACCAGGCTGAACTGCTTGTGCTCCTAAGACTCATACAGTCCGACCCTGGCGCCCTGACGCCTACGTCTCGATTGCCCGTTTGGGTTGCCAAAGCCAATTTTGCGGAGCTCGCAACCCTAAACCAATGAGAAAAAACAACTTTGGCCAAGATACGGCGTCAAGGGCGCTTGATGTTCCCCATTCCCCGACTTGAGGTCTCCTAAAGCCCCGCTAACAGTGCAAAGGGCGCCTCCTTTGTGCGATGGTGCACTGTGTAGGAAATCCTACAGTGGTTGTCTACGTCCCCCATCAAGGGGTCGATGACCTTGGACCATGGCTGGGTTGATCAATACTCCTGACCCTCGAATGAGCATGGGTAACGTTCTCCATTGAATGGGATTGTCAGCTTTTCGGCGGTTTTCCGGTAGTGGTCCCTTTTATGCAGACTCGATCAACCCCCGTATTAATTCGAACCCGTAGAAAATTTTCAACCCCCTCCACCCCCCCTGTCCTGCACCGCCGGCGTCGGAAGTGTCCCCGGCTTCGGAAGCTGCTCCTTCTCCTCGCCAGAAGCTTCGGCTTTGTCCCATTTTCGGCCGAGCAGCCGGCCAAAACCGAAACTGACCGACTTTGGGGTTTCCACAGGGCGGCGACCACAAAGCAGGTAGGCAATTTTTCAGGCATGTCCACCTCCGGATCTTGCGCAAGCTTTGCCTGGTTGAGGGGCCACACTTAGCCTGCAAAGAAGCTGAAACCGAAAGAAAAGTCTGGCAATGGCTGCCTTCACAAGGGGAAGTGTCAAGATTCGGGTGACCCTTTGGTATCCCCTTTAAACCGGCGGCGCAAGGGTGCGTCTCAACTTCAAGATCCTTTTCATGTCCCTTTCAAGCCAATCACAATGTGGAAGTGGTTGGCTTTGGTGCTCGAACGTGTTTGGCTATACAGGCTTACGTAACCCTTCTAGACCCCATTAAACCAGGTTTTGGGCGCTGCTCAGGCTGGTTTGGAAGCGAAAAGAAAAGAAATTCAAGCAACAAAATACACCAGCATCGACCCCAAATAGCCAAAAACAGCCCCATTGCACACCAGCACCTCAAACATCACACACACCCGGAAGAGCACCCCAAGCAGCGCACCCAGAGTGCCCGCCGGCAATCTCGCAAAAATGGTCACCAGCACCTCAACAGCACCATCCCAAAGCAGCACCTGCACCAGCCGGAAACTGCATTCCTCCTGGCACCCTGCCGTCAATCTTGCAAAAGGCGCACCCGCGCCGGTTACCAGCCCGCCCCCCCCCACAAAACAGAACCTGCACCAGCACCCAAGCAGCATGCGCCCACGCACCCTGCCGTCAATCTCGCAAAAACTGTCGGGCCTGAAACAGCACCCCAAACTGATGCTGCATGCCCTGATCAATCTTGCAAAACTGCGCCCGCCCCTAGCCCGCACCGAGACCAGCACCTCAAACAGCATGCCAGCACAGCACCTGCACCAGCACCCAAACTGCGTGCCCCAGCATCCTGCCGTCAATCTTGCAATTATGCGCCCGCACCTCAAACAGCTCCCGAGCAGCACCCCCCAAGCACCTGCGCCAGCACCCCAAACTGCATGCCCCCTAGCACCCAGCCGTCAATCTTGCAAATCACTTTCCCCACTGTATGAAGTTAGAACCCTAAAGCTTTCAGCTATCTGGGAAACATATTGCACCAGCATAGACCCCAAATAGCATAAAACAGGTCAAGGATTTCACACTGCTCGTTGCCCAGATCATATCAAATTCAGGGACACTTCTGGGTGTAGAATTGAGAGGCTTCCCGGTGCGAATTGAAAGAACAAAAACCTTAAGTGCTTTTGTGTGCTCCATTTGTGTGGGCAGCATAGGTGCTTGAAGTTTGGCACAGGTTGAAGGGACACTTTGAACAGGGGCAGGATTTGATCGAGGGGCTTCCTGCCCCAAACAGCACCCCAAAGCAGCACCTGCATCAGCACCCCCATGCCCCTAGCCCGGCCGTCAGTCTCTCAAACCGCCAATCTCGCAAAAATGCGCCCACCGTCACCAGCGTCTGACAGCAACTCCACTGCATGCCCCCGAGCACCCGGTCACACGCACCTCTAACAGCACCTGCACCAGCACCCCAAACTGCTCAGCACCCGTCCGAGTACCTCCAACAGCACCTCCACCAAACTAATAAACATGCGCGCACCAACACCAGCACCTCACATGACAGCACCACAAAGCAACACTTGCACCAACAATTGCACCAGCACCCCAAACTGCATACCACCTAGCACCCTGCCCTCAATCTTGCAAAACTGCGCCACACCGTCACCAGCACCTCAAACAGCACAACCACCAGCACCTCAAGCACCTGCACCACCACCCCAAACTGCATGCTCCCTAGCACTCTGCCGTCAATCTCGCAAATCACTTTCCCCTCTTTATTAGAAGTTGGAACCCCTTATAGCTTTCAGCTATCTATTATCTGGGGAATAAAATAGCTTTCAGCTATCGGGGGAATAAACCAGCTTCACCCAGGGCTGTCCTGCTCTTTTTGGGATTTGGACCAAGAGGAATCCGTGAAAACAATTCCATGCACAGATGAGTTTGATGTCACCTGTCCCCTACAGAACTGGTAGCTCTTCAGCTCCCTCTTCAGGGCGAATTTGGATACATCCAGCATGGCTTGCTTCCAATACCCGCCTGGGCTGGCGCACTCGGCTGCACACGCCCATTGACCTGCGTCTGAAGCTTCAACAGCTCCTCGCCATGTGAGCGGCAAAAACAATTGGCTGGTCCCTTCGCTCCAAACCAACCGTTGGCTTTGTTATGCCCTCATTTCTTGGGGGAGATTCCCATGGTGAAACTTGCGATTTTATGTATCGTATAGGCTATAGGGAACACTCTTTCCTTGAGCGCTGGCCACGCTTTACATACAGTAGGGGGCTTATGCCCACAAACAAAGGTTTAATGGTGCTTCCGTTGAAGCTTTCCCCCCGCTTTGGCCCGTTCGTTTTTGATCGGCTCCGGAGTGAGTGTTGCTTCTCGCTTGAGCTCCGAAATCAAGGCAAGTCCATTGGGGTCGATCCCAAGCCACATGCGCCAGCCCGTCCATCTCGCTGGTCTTCGTGCGAAGACGCCGCGCCGGCGGCGACTTCATGCTGCAAAAAAAACAGAAGGAAAAAAAACTTGAGCCCGCTTGAGGCGTCACGGATCTGAGTTGTCTCGGGCAACTGCTTGGAATGCCTGCACTGAGCAGCGCAATGCCCATTCTAACCTGACAATGCAAAGTGATGCGCAATGTGGGCCATGTGCACTCCTAGAGTCTGGGGCAGTGTTTCGACAGAGACAGGGGTCACAGGGTTCGGCTCAATCATCCTGCAAAGAAATCACACGCGCTCATGCAATCATCTCCATTGTAAAGCAATCATCTTGCAACGTGACTGGAATTTGTGTAAAAAAAATGGAACATCAAGCCGCACCCGACACTGGAACGCCCCCTTTTCCATTTAAGCTTCAAACTGGATTCGCGTTCGTCTTCAAATTACTCATTGGCGTTCGTCTTCAAATCACTCACTGCACCCGGCGCCGCTTCAGGAGAGACTGGCTTCCCAACAGCCCCAGCACGGGGGTGTGGCAGACCGGCTCCGGTGTCAGAGCATCCGCCTTCCGTTTTGGAAGGCTTGGCGGTGTCACCGGAGTCGTCTGGAACGGGGCTGGCAACGCCGGGGCAGGGGCCCGGGCAGCGGCCCGGGCATGGGGACGCTTGGGTGGCGAAGGTGCGACGGGCACAGCACTTGTTGCAGGCGGTGCCACACGCTGCTTCGTTGCCCGCTCGGTGGGCGCAGTGGGCGTAGGCGCCGCACGCTTTGGCGCCGCACGCTTTGGCGGCGCTGAAGGCTCCTCGCGCACTGCCTTGCAGGCACGGGGCGGCTGTTGGCGCCGCGGTGGCAAGACACGCTCAGCCTTGACTTTGGGCTGAGGTGGCTTGGGCAGCTCCTCCCGCACTCTCTTGCATGCCCTTGGCGGCTGCTGGCGCCGTGGCGGCAGCGGCTTCGGCGCACGCTCAGCCTTCACTTTGGGCTGAGGCGTTGGCGTGGGCGGTGGGGGGCATGTGATTGGCTTGGGCGGCGGGGGGGATGTGATTGGCCTGGGCTGCGAGGCAGGAAAAAGAGCAGCACTTGGACTCAAGCTTGCTCACAAAAAGCTTGCGGGTGACGCCAGCCACAATGACCAATGCGGTCCAAGCATCGGAGGTAGGACATCCAGGTTAACGGCAGCCATATTGACACAGCCGAAGGGACGCCACACAGCCTTGCAAAGGCACTGATTGTATTTGATGGGACACCAGCCCTTTGCGGCAACTTGCCAGGAGGCATGTGTCAAACACTTAAGCTGGGTTGGATGCGGTTTCCAACTGGTGTCTGCCAGCTCTTCAACTGTGCAGAGCAAGCCCAGTCACATCTCCCCGCCTCCTCCCACACGTGGGGGCGATTTTTGCCGATCAAATCGTCAAAGCGGAGCTCTGAGGGGCTCCTGGTGGGCACTCGAACCGCAAGACCTGTGCATCCCAATTCGCTCAGAGACTCTGGCTTTACCATTTGGGCTTGGGCTCCCTTTTACGCAAACCCGAGAGATGGGCCAACTAAAACAGGTTTAGGGCTAGGGGGCCTGCGGGAATCTCCAGCATGTCATAGATGTTGGCTGGAAGTCACTCCCCACTTCACACCTCCCCTGTCCTCCTGACAGCTTCCGCTGTGGCGATCCGCTTCTCGAACCGGTCCAAAGGCAGCATGTCGCCCGTCTCGGAAGGCTTTGATTCGAGTTTGGGCGTGAAGTTTAAGTAAGTGGAAGGACATTAAACGATACCTACTTGTGACGGGGTTCCCTCTCAAATAAGCCACAAAAAAGCATAGGTAATGGCCACCCTGCACACATGAGCCAAGCAAACCCACCACCTTGGGGATGACAAACAAGAAGCAGCCATCACCAACAACTTTACCACATCATTGCTGGGATGATTACTCAGCTGATTCAAAAACAGCGCTGGTGTCTCAATTGCCACCAAATGGCAAGCTCCGGCCATAGCGGGCCGCCGTGGTAAACCGGCACAAGCTCCTAGCGAACCGAACATGGCGCTAGGAATGGAACGCAGCCCGGCATCTGCAAGGACAGCACTGACAGCAACACTGCAGCTTGCGCGTTTCCCACCTTGATGGAACCTTTTTTGGACATGCGCCTGGCCTTTGGAGGGGGAAAGGAGAAGAAAAAAGACAAGCCGTTGAACGAACGGGGCGCGTCCTCCGGGGGCTAAAAGCTGCCGTCCGCTTCGTGAAAGCCCATAGCGCTCCAGAATTTGGGCGCCTGGTCATTGGGTGCCTCACAGCTCAGAGCTTGGCGCTCCTTTGGCCCAATTCAGTTGGTTCGAAAAATCCCGGAAACCAACTTTGGACCCTCAACTGATGAATCCTGGCTCAAACGGCTATGGATTTCAATAGAACCGCCTTATTTTTTGGTGGACATGAAGCCCAACCTCAATAATGTCCACCGAAAGGGGTCCCTGATTAAAACACACCCAAACAAAAGCCCAAGCGAAACCAATTTTGCCGCTTCAGCAGCCCATTTGAGTCATCATCAAAACCTGCATTAAGATGGCCTACCCAGAACCATGTGTACAGAATTCAAAAGGCGGCTGCACATTTGGGATTATCCCTTGCTAACCTTCACCTACCCGGGGTTTGATTGTGGCTGCTCATTTGGGCATGAATCCATGGAGACCCTGAATCCTTGGAGACCCTTTGGTGGACGGTTATGTCCACCAACTATTTTAGCGGCTACTCTCGATGAAAACCCTTTGCCACTTGGAGATAAACCCTCCATTCAAGCAAGTTTGGAAATTTGTCTACGTCAAAGTCGAAGGGAAATCGCAAATCCAAATGCTGTTTCTGACTCTGGTTGTTTTGCGCAGCAGAGGTAAGCCAGAAGCCGGTTTCGGGCAGAGTCTACCAAGACCTTATTTAAAAGAAGAACCAAGAAAGATGTCCACACATTAGTTGGGACTGTCCACCTGTCAGGTTTGTGTTCTCGAGTTAGTTCAGGGCCACCGTCAGCCAAGCAGCCGGATAGAGCGCCAGGACATCAACTCCTGGCGAGTTTGAGGTGGTTCTCAGGGAGTGGGAACCCTGCACACCCTCCAACTAGCGTTTGGCCTTCAAAGCGACCCCCAGCTCATTCCAAAAACCCTCCGACCGGTGCAGCGGCTTGCACCGGAAATCGAAACGTTGTCGGCACAGCTTGCGTTGTCGGCGCTGCAAACTGCCTCTGCCCTGCCTCACAATAACGTGACGTGCGAGGGCACCGGCGCATCGCCAACTCAAACAGGGCCGTTGACTATGGCAGCACTTTGGCATCCCGGCGCTTCTCGCCCCAAGCGCGGCAGTTATGAGGTGAAAAATGCAAGTCTTGACTTTAGGGGGCGGCCCTTGTTGGTTGCAGCAAAACTCTAGGAGATGCGATCTGGGCTCGGCCAACTCGCTCCTTCCCGAAGCAGCAACTCCTCCACTGCCCGGAACAGCATGCGGCCAATACCCACGGCGCTCCTGCGACCGGGACGATTGAATCAAAATACGGCCAAAACTAAGTACAAAGGCTCGCACAGCAACACAACAGTGTATCCGAACGTGTCGAACACCGCATGGACGCTGTTGAGTATGTCTAATTACCAAGCTGCCTTTGACTGCCTAGTGGGATGCCTGAGAAATCTGTCCACTTTTCAGGTTTCGCCACGTTTCCCACACTGTCCACGCATCTGAAGTTCAGGCATACGACAAAGCACATGCGAAAATGGCCAAGCGTAACATTTAACATGTCAAGTCGCCAAATCACCTTCAGAGAAGTCCTAAAAAAGCAATGAATCACCTTTTCTTGCGCGGTTCCGTATATCCCGAGAAGAAAAAAAAAAAGAAAGAAGAAAAAAAAAGGAAAAAAGGGGGGGGGAAAAAAAAGAAAAACGTCTTAGAGGAGGCGGGGTCCTCCGAATCAGCTTGCACCTGCGTGATTTTCTGCCTGCCCCGTTTTTTTGGCGTAGGGCTGTCCTGTGCGGCGCTCATGTTGGCCGCCACCTGCACCCATCTCTTGCGCCACCCGATGTATGCGCCAAACCGTCCAGCTCGCCGGTCTTCGTGCGAAGACGCCGCGCCGGCGGCGACTTCATGCTGCAAAAAAAAAACAGAAGGAAAAAAAAACTTGAGCCCGCTTGAGGCGTCACGGATCTGAGTTGTCTCGGGCAACTGTTTGGAATGCCTGCACTGAGCCGCGCAATGCCCATTCTAACCTGACAATGCAAAGTGATGAACAACGTGGGCCGTGCATGTGCACTCCTAGTGTCTGGGGGTCACAGAGTTCGGCTCAATCATCTTGCAAAGAGATCACACGCGCTCATGCCGTCATCTCCATTGTAAAGCAATCATCTTGCAACGTGACTGGAATTTGTAAAAAAAAAATGGAACATCAAACCGCACCCGGCACTGGAACGCCCCCTTTTCCATTTAAGCTTCAAACTGGATTCGCGTTCGTCTTCAAAGTACTCATTGGCGTTCGTCTTCAAATCACTCACTGCACCCGGCGCCGCTTCAGGAGAGACTGGCTTCCCAACAGCCCCAGCACGGGGGTGTGGCAGACCGGCTCCGGTGTCAGAGCATCCGCCTTCCGTTTTGGAAGGCTTGGCGGTGTCACCGGAGTCGTCTGGAACGGGGCTGGCAACGCCGGGGCAGGGGCCCGGGCAGCGGCCCGGGCATGGGGACGCTTGGGTGGCGAAGGTGCGACGGGCACAGCACTTGTTGCAGGCGGTGCCACACGCTGCTTCGTTGCCCGCTCGGTGGGCGCAGTGGGCGTAGGCGCCGCACGCTTTGGCGCCGCACGCTTTGGCGGCGCTGAAGGCTCCTCGCGCACTGCCTTGCAGGCACGGGGCGGCTGTTGGCGCCGCGGTGGCAAGACACGCTCAGCCTTGACTTTGGGCTGAGGTGACTTGGGCAGCTCCTCTCGCATTCTTTTGCATGCCTTTGGCGGCTGCTGGCGCCGTGGCGGCAGCGGCTTCGGCGCACGCTCAGCCTTCACTTTGGGCGATCCGCTTCTCGAACCGGTCCAAAGGCAGCATGTCGCCCGTCTCGGAAGGCTTTGATTCGAGTTTGGGCGTGAAGTTTAAGTGGAAGGACATTAAACGAGGCAGGGGGTTACCTCCACCTACTTGTGACGGGGTTCCCTTTGAAATAAGCCACAAAAAAGCATAAGTAATGGCCACCCTGCACACATGAGCCAAGCAAACCCACCACCTTGGGGATGACAAACAAGAAGCAGTCATGACCAACAACTTTACCACACCATTGCCGGGATGATTACTCAGCTGATTCAAAAACAGCGCTGGTGTCTCAATTGCCACCAAATGACAAGCTCCGGTCATAGCGGGCCGCCGTGGTAAACCGGCACAAGCTCCTAGCGAATCGAACATGGCGTTAGGAATGGAACGCAGCTTGGCGCTCCTTTGGCCCAATTCAGTTGGATCGAAAAATCCCGGAAACCAACTTTGCACCCTCAACTAATGAATCCTGGCTCAAACGGCTATGGATTTCAATAGAACCGCCTCATTTTTTGATGGACATGAAGCCCAACCTAAATCATGTCCACCGAAAAAGTCCTGATTAAAAACACACCCAAACAAAAGCCCAAGCGAAACCAATTTTGCCGCTTCAGCAGCCCATTTGAGTCATCATCAAAACCTGCATTAAAATGGCCTACCCAAAACCATGTACGGAGTTCAAAAGGCGGCTGCACCCATTTGAGATTATCCCTTACTAACCTTCACCTACCCGGGGTTTGATTGTGGCTGCTCATTTGGGCATGAATCCATGGAAACCCTGAATCCTTGGAGACCCTTTGATGGACGGTTATGTCCACCAACTATTTTAGCGACTACTCTCGATGAAAACCCTGCGCCACTTGGAGATAAACCCGACCCACCCAGCTGCCGACTGCATTCAAGCAAGTTTGGAAATTTGTCTACGTCAAAGTCGAAGGGAAATCGCAAATCCAAATGTTGATTCTGACTCTGGTTGTTTTGCGCAGCAAAAATAAGCCAGAAGCCGGTTTCGGGCAGAGTCTACCAAGACCTTATTTAAAAGAAGAACCAGGAAAGATGTCCACACCTTAGTTGGGACTGTCCACCTGTCAGGTTTTTGTTCTCGAGTTAGTTCAGGGCCACCGTCAGCCAAGCAGCCGGATAGAGCGCCAAGACATCAACTCCTGGCGAGTTTGAGGTGGTTCTCAGGGAGTGGGAACCCTGCACACCCTCCAACTAGCGTTTGGCCTTCAAAGCGACCCCCAGCTCATTCCAAAAACCCTCCGACCGGTGCAACGGCTTGCACCGGAAATCGAAACGTTGTCGGCACAGCTTGCGTTGTCGGCGCTGCAAACTGCCTCTGCCCGGCCTCACAATAACGTGACGTGCGAGGGCACCGGCGCATCGCCAACTCAAACAGGGCCGTTGACTATGGCAGCACTTTGGCATCCCGGCGCTTCTCGCCCCAAGCGCGGCAGTTATGAGGTGAAAAATGCAAGTCTTGACTTTAGGGGGCGACCCTTGTTGGTTTCAGCAAAACTCTAGGAGATGCGATCTGGGCTCGGCCAACTCGCTCCTTCCCGAAGCAGCAACTCCTCCACTGCCCGGAACAGCATGCGGCCATACCCACGGCGCTCCTGCGACCGGGACGATTGAATCAAAATACGGCCAAAACTAAGTACAAAGGCTCGCACAGCAACACAACAGTGTATCCGAACGTGTTGAACACCGCATGGACGCTGTTGAGTATGTCTAATTACCAAGCTGCCTTTGACTGCCTAGTGGGATGCCTGACAAATTTGTCCACTTTTCAGGTTTCGCCAGGTTTCACCCTGTCCACCCATCTGAAGTTCAGGCATGCGACAAAGCACATGCGAAAATGGCCAAGCGTAGCATTTAACATGTCAAGTCGCCAAATCACCTTCAGAGAAGTCCTAAAAAAGCAATGAATCACCCCGTCTTGCGCGGTTCCGTAGAAGGATATATCCCGGGAAAAAGAAAAAAAAAAAGAAACTCCTTCTTAGAGGAGGCGGGGTCCTCCGAATCAGCTTGCACCTGCGTGATTTTCTGCCTGGCCCGTTTCTTGTCGTAGGGCTGTCCTGTGCGGCGCTCATGTTGGCCGCCACCTGCACCCAGCTCTTGCGCCACCCGATGTATGCGCCAAACCGTCCAGCTCGCCGGTCTTCGTGCGAAGACGCCGCGCCGGCGGCGACTTCATGCTGCAAAAAAAACAGAAGGAAAAAAAACTTGAGCCCGCTTGAGGCGTCACGGATCTGAGTTGTCTCGGGCAACTGTTTGGAATGCCTGCACTGAGCCGCGCAATGCCCATTCTAACCTGACAATGCAAAGTGATGAACAACGTGGGCCGTGCATGTGCACTCCTAGTGTCTGGGGGTCACAGAGTTCGGCTCAATCATCCTGCAAAGAGATCACACGCGCTCATGCCGTCATCTCCATTGTAAAGCAATCATCTTGCAACGTGACTGGAATTTGTAAAAAAAAAAATGGAACATCAAACCGCACCCGGCACTGGAACGCCCCCTTTTCCATTTAAGCTTCAAACTGGATTCGCGTTCGTCTTCAAAGTACTCATTGGCGTTCGTCTTCAAATCACTCACTGCACCCGGCGCCGCTTCAGGAGAGACTGGCTTCCCAACAGCCCCAGCACGGGGGTGTGGCAGACCGGCTCCGGTGTCAGAGCATCCGCCTTCCGTTTTGGAAGGCTTGGCGGTGTCACCGGAGTCGTCTGGAACGGGGCTGGCAACGCCGGGGCAGGGGCCCGGGCAGCGGCCCGGGCATGGGGACGCTTGGGTGGCGAAGGTGCGACGGGCACAGCACTTGTTGCAGGCGGTGCCACACGCTGCTTCGTTGCCCGCTCGGTGGGCGCAGTGGGCGTAGGCGCCGCACGCTTTGGCGCCGCACGCTTTGGCGGCGCTGAAGGCTCCTCGCGCACTGCCTTGCAGGCACGGGGCGGCTGTTGGCGCCGCGGTGGCAAGACACGCTCAGCCTTGACTTTGGGCTGAGGTGGCTTGGGCAGCTCCTCCCGCACTCTCTTGCATGCCCTTGGCGGCTGCTGGCGCCGTGGCGGCAGCGGCTTCGGCGCACGCTCAGCCTTCACTTTGGGCTGAGGCGTTGGCGTGGGCGGTGGGGGGCATGTGATTGGCTTGGGCGGCGGGGGGGATGTGATTGGCCTGGGCTGCGAGGCAGGAAAAAGAACAGCACTTGGACTCAAGCTTGCTCACAAAAAGCTTGCGGGTGACGCCAGCCACAATGACCAATGCGGTCCAAGCATCGGAGGTAGGACATCCAGGTTAACGGCAGCCATATTGACACAGCCGAAGGGACGCCACACAGCCTTGCAAAGGCACTGATTGTATTTGATGGGACACCAGCCCTTTGCGGCAACTTGCCAGGAGGCATGTGTCAAACACTTAAGCTGGGTTGGATGCGGTTTCCAACTTGTGTCTGCCAGCTCTTCAACTGTGCAGAGCAAGCCCAGTCACATCTCCCCGCCTCCTCCCACACGTGGGGGCGATTTTTGCCGATCAAATCGTCAAAGCGGAGCTCTGAGGGGCTCCTGGTGGGCACTCGAACCGCAAGACCTGTGCATCCCAATTCGCTCAGAGACTCTGGCTTTACCATTTGGGCTTGGGCTCCCTTTTACGCAAACCCGAGAGATGGGCCAACTAAAACAGGTTTAGGGCTAGGGGGCCTGCGGGAATCTCCAGCATGTCATAGATGTTGGCTGGAAGTCACTCCCCACTTCACACCTCCCCAGTCCTCCTGACAGCTTCCGCTGTGGCGATCCGCTTCTCGAACCGGTCCAAAGGCAGCATGTCGCCCGTCTCGGAAGGCTTTGATTCGAGTTTGGGCGTGAAGTTTAAGTGGAAGGACATTAAACGATACCTACTTGTGACGGGGTTCCCTCTCAAATAAGCCACAAAAAAGCATAGGTAATGGCCACCCTGCACACATGAGCCAAGCAAACCCACCACCTTGGGGATGACAAACAAGAAGCAGCCATCACCAACAACTTTACCACATCATTGCCGGGATGATTACTCAGCTGATTCAAAAACAGCGCTGGTGTCTCAATTGCCACCAAATGGCAAGCTCCGGCCATAGCGGGCCGCCGTGGTAAACCGGCACAAGCTCCTAGCGAACCGAACATGGCGCTAGGAATGGAACGCAGCCCGGCATCTGCAAGGACAGCACTGGCATCAACACTGCAGCTTGCGCGTTTTCCCACCTTGATGGAACCTTTTTTGGGCGTGGGTTGGACATGCGCCTGGCCTTTGGGGGGGGACGGGAGAAAAAAAGGCAAGCCGAGTTTGAACAAACGGGCGAGTCCTCCGGGGGCAAAAAGCTGCCGTCCGCTTCGTGAAAGCCCATAGCGCTCCAGAATTTGGGCGCCTGGTCATTGGGTGCCTCACAGCTCAGAGCTTGGCGCTCCTTTGGCCCAATTCGGTTGGTTCAAAAAAAACCGGAAACCAACTTTGGACCCTCAACTGATGAATCCTGGCTCAAACGGCTATGGATTTCAATAGAACCGCCCTATTTTTTGGTGGACATGAAGCCCAACCTAAATCATGTCCACCGAAAGGGGTTCCTGATGAAAAACACACCCAAACGGAAGCCCAAGCGAAACCAATTTTGCCCATGTAAGGAATTCAAAAGGCGGCTGCACCCATTTGGGATTATCCCTTGCTAACCTTCACCTACCCGGGGTTTGATTGTGGCTGCTCATTTGGGCATGACTCCATGGAGACCCTGAATCCTTGGAGACCCTTTTGTGGACATCAGAAACAGAAGGGGGCCTATGTCCACCAACCATTTTAGCGGCTACTCTCGATGCAAACCCTTTGTTGGAGATAAACCCGGCCCACCCAGCTGCCAACTCCGGTTTGGCAATTCGTTTACCGTTGTTCCGTGCAGCATCCACAAGCCAGAAGCCGGTTTCGGGTGGAGTCTACCAAGACCCCTATGAAGAACCACAGGTTTTGATCTCGGGGGTCGGGGCCACCCGCGGCCAAGCAGCCGGATAGAGCGCCAAGACATCAACTCCTGGCGAGTTTGAGTTGGCATCCAATTGGCGGCTTGCCCTCAAAGCGACCCCAGCTCACTCCCAAAACCCTCCGAGAACCAGTAAGTTGAGAACTAAAGCAACGGCTCGCACCAGAAATCGCAAACAGTGCGCGCTGTCGGCGCAAACTGCATGCCCTGAGGCCAGCGGGGCATGGCTATCAAAACAGCTGGAATCCTCGTGCGGAGGTTTGACTAGTTCCAGCAGAACTCGGGACGCGATCTCGCCCAACTTGCTCCTTCCCGAAGCAGCAAATCCTCCACTGCTCGGAACAGCATGCGACCATACCCACGGCGCTCCTGTGACCGGATCGTTCGAATCAGACATATTGCGAAAAAGCACATCGGCTCGAACAAAGAAGCAAAAAAAAGACCCTGAGCTGTCAAGGTTCCTTTGATTCCCTGGTGGGAGACCTGAGATATCTGTCCACTGGATTTCAAGTTCGCAGGCTTCCCACCCTGTGCGCGCATCCGATGTGCACGTATGTCAGCAAGTGCAAAAATGGCCAAGCGTGACGTGTCAAGTCGCCAACTCACTGCAAAGAAGCCATTAAAAAAGATCCTGTCCTACGCGGCTCGAGAAAAACACGTCCCAAAGTCACCTGCTTAACAAAAGGGGCCTTCTGAATCAGCTGGTGGTGGGGCGATTGTCTCACTGGCCCATTGGCCGTCCTGTGCGGCGCTCACATTCGCCACCTGCGCCCAGCTCTTGCGCCACCCGACGTACGGATTCACGCGCAGCGTCACGGCCGCCAGGCAGGCCTCGCAACATCTGGGCCCCTGACTTGGCGAGGTGTGCCAGGCTTGGTACCCTTCTTGGGGTTGGTTCAGAGGGAAACCACAAGGAAACCAACCATTCGGGGGTCCCCTCTTCTGAGACAAACCCATGTGCCTGCGCAAAAATGTGTGCCTCATTGGGGGTGATGGGTGTGAACTTCAATTGAGTGCGCAAAACCCAAGTTGACTTTTGGCTCTACCAGAAGGCGATAAAGGTTCTATGAAGCCACGATCAATATTCATTGTAAACTGACCCAATTTTACTTGTTGTAGTTTGGTGAGTGTGCCCCATGTCATCCCCGTTGCCACAGGAAATGACGGTACATGCTGACCATTGATCATGCAGTCCATACTATAACCACCCTGAGACCAGGTAGATCCACCTACTGCTCAGTTGGGGTGAAGCAGGGTTCCTTATTATAGAACAAGCAATCCGGGAAGAAAGGAAGTTAGCCAAGCCTGTGCTTTTGGTCCTGGAGCGAGTTTCTTGGATATTGCCCGCTTCACCTCAAGGGAAACCAATTGAAGTCAAAAGGTGATGCCTAATACCACGGAAAATGCACAGACTGTAGGAAGCATGTCAAGTCCAAGGATCCATATGCCCTCAAAAGCGCATCCCCCCCCTCCGCATCTGGCAGCTGGCCTGATCGGATGTCAGAAGAAAGCTCCTCCGCGCGTTCTCAAATGCGAGAACGAAGGGCCCAACACCAAACTACGTGTTTTTTGTTGTTGTTTTTACAAACGGGTGTCCCTCATATGTAATTGTTTTGGGGAGGGATATGCTACGAACAGCGTCGTACATATAGATATAGATGCGCTCCTGCAGCGGTGCACTTGAGAATTCCAAAGCCGCTCCTTCACCTAGGCAAGATTGCGTGACGCGAAAACAAGCATGTGTTTTTCCAAGAAGAACGCATCGGGTTTTTCCTGCGCCTCGGCGCCTATGGCTTGGGTGTTTAGCAAAGTTGTGGCCCCGCAAGATGGCGGGTGTCCTTTGTGTTTCCCTTCCACTACCAACCCAAAACCCTTGTAAGAAACCCTCACTTGACTCGCCAAGCTGCGAAATGCTCCTCGTTCACGAAGGTCTCTTTATCCATATGGCACTTGAAAGCTGCTAGCCTCTCTTCCTCATTGCTCACCTGCCGTCGCACGCACACTGCCCCATTGCTTTTTACCAAAATCACTCCCAGGTAGGATGAAGAGAAATAACTGCAGAAAAGGGTTAGGGCCACTGAAGCTCGGCATTGCTCTTCATAGGGTCTGCGGGTGGTGCGCAAACGCCCTGCGCCCAGTCGCGATCTCTCCAATTTATGTGCGCTTTCGTGAGCCCCGTCTTGAATCCATGGGCCTCCAGGCAGTTGCGCGCGAGTCAGAGCGTGCTTTTCGCGACGACTTGCCTAAGTGGAACGCCCAACGCATTGGGCCTTGTCGGCCACGGCGCGACCCCAAAAAAGATTCGAAGCACGGCACGGCCCCGACACGGTCACAAAACGGCAACGGTGCACGGGAAGGAGTGTCCCCACTGCCACAAAGCCACGATATGGCCACGTCAGCCCTGCGTCATCGTTCCCTCACACATCGACTCAACGATTACAGAAGAACCAAAACATTCGAATTGTTTCTGTCAAAAAACAGACCTACGAACAACTCTTTAAACAATGTGATTCGGGCACGAGCCTGTGCCCAGGCAATGGGTAAGTTGGGGTAAACAAGCCACAAAAGAAAGGTTCCCCAAAAGCAAACCAATCCCCGGTCCCAAAGATCAGGGTTTCCCACACACCAGAGAACAACAACCAAAGGGAAACAAACCAAAATAGAAAAGGATACCCGCAACCTTGGTCGACGATGAACCGCACGGGCGATCCCCACCAACCTACCCCGGGCCGAAGTCTCTTTCTCCTCCGACACGAAGGCGGTCGACGTGAGGGCCCGGCGACGCTCATCCGAGGCGCGCCGGATCCAAAACTTGAGCCAAACACCACCGGTCAGTCACTATCGCGACATCCCTGATGATAGAAAGCATGGCTAATCACACCCCCCTCACGAGGAGCCCGTCATATGACGGGTGGAGCGTGCCATTTACTGATAGGATTTAACTGCTCGCATGTGTCCGCAAACAGCTGGACACTACCGCCGTCAGCGGTGGAGCAAACCCACAAAGGCAGTTGCGCGACATCCCGGGCATTAAATTCCCGCCACCACCCCGAATTAATCGGGGTAACGCTGTCCAACACACCCTGTGAAAGAGTCCACATGACGGCACTAGGCCACAACTGTTTGCATCAACAATGCAAGAAGTTTAATTCTTATCAGAAGCCATGAAACAAAAGATAACGTATGTCCATTAGTACCCTCGCCTATCGGCAAGAGGTACTCCTGACCATGCGTACCTGAAAAATGCTTGAATTCCGCAAACCCGGGAGTACCCCCCCATCAGTTTCCTTTCCCTCTCACTCACACTGCTTCATGATGAACACGACCAGCAGCCGAGCAGCGGTATGGGAGAGACATGATCTCCGCGCCTCAGCGGTTCGGGAGGAACATCACCACCTCCGCACCGCGCCGACCATTGGAGAATGGACGCAAGCCTATCGGCCGCAATCCTCGTGACTCAGCCTATCGGCTATCGTCACGTCTCCTCCGGTCACGTCCGCCCCGCGCACGGTCCCTATCACGATCCCTCTCGGATCTCCTGCGATCATCTCGCCTTCGTTCTCGCTCCCGATCGAGTGAATCATCATCACGACGATCACGAGCATCGTCCCTCCTCCGGTCACGATCATCCTCGCGCTGTGGACGGTATCTGCGCCTTCTCCACTCTCTGGAATCCCTAGTGTCCACGGCCCTAACGGACCTCCAAGAAGGAGTGCGGGAAACGTCCGATTCCCTACGCCTCCTCGAGAGTTCGTCACGATCTGGTTGAGTGCCGACGCGTCTTCACCATTTCTGATGAAATCCCTGACTTGCTTGTTCAGCACTCTGTTGGTGGAAACTGACAAGAGGGCGTCCACCACCGAACTCTCAGGCAGCACCAGGAAGTGACCTTCCACCGGGCTCGCCGCAGCTCGCTCCGCTGACTGCAACCTGATCTCACCGCCTTCAGGCCTCTTTGCCATTGCCTTGGAGGCCGTCAGAGGCGCTACCGCGTCCTTTGCCGAAGACCTACCAAGCGCTGAGTGAAGATCATCCCCACTAGCCTCTCTCGCTGCCGCACCTGGTCTGCTGTCAACGTCATCAGGCCTCGTCGATGCCTCCCGCTTCGTCGACTCCTTCACAGTCTTCCTTTCTCTCTTCTGCCCTTCAGCCGAGCCCCGACTACCGCCAGGAGCGTCGTCTCTGCCTATCTTCTCCTTCTTGACCTCAACCTTCGGTTCGGCCTGCTTCGTCTCCTTAGCCTCAGCCTTTGGACCCGTCTGCGCGTTCAGCAAAGTTGCCCTCACTCCTGGCGCTCGGAGACAGTCATATGCCCTGCGGTTCGGGTCACTAACGACACCACGAACCATGTAATCATCCCGATCAGGCATATCTGCCCAGTCTCCCGGGGGTGCTCGTCCATGATGGTACTTCGCCTGAATGTCCTGCCTCATCCCTAACGGGATATGGGCAGCCTCAGTCGCCACCTTCTTCATGTTCCATTGCTGATCAGCCCAAGGCGTAGACTTCCGGTCTCGAGGATTGATGTACTCTTGATCGATCCTCCCAGCTGCTCGGGAAGCATCCAACGCTCCGTACATGTAGTCATTGTGCACAGCTCGATCCAACACGGCGCTCCACTCGCTATCGCGATTGGGGAACACTATGTGGCTAGTCTCGTTTGCCTTCTTCCACTCCTCGGCGGTAACCCGCTCTCGAGCGATCGCCTTGTTACGGATCACGGCGTAGATGAAGGGCCCTGGAGCAGCACGCATGTTCTCCTCTTCGACTGATAGACCTATCGGTCCCATATAGTTCTCAGGGAAGAACTTGTGCATAGCCCACACGACTGAAGGAGCATGCGGATTCCATTCAATGAATGGGTTATAATACTGCAGGGTGCTATCGCCCCCTGAGTTGCACAGCTCCACATACTGTGAGTCCGCCGCAGGCTTCTCGAGCTTGACGCAGATTCCACGAATCACCAACCTCGCGTTCGGGAATACCCGCTGGGCCCCTCTCTTGACGCCCTTCAGGTGGGGATTGTCACCGAATAGGTTCTCGGCCTCGTCCGGCTGCGCGACGCAAATCCCGACCCTCGCCCACGTGTTCTGGCCGTAATGCGATAGGGTGCTGTACCCCAGGGCCTCAATCGTCTTCAGCGACGTCCATACACCCACAGCCTCCTCGCTCGCGGTGGACGCAGTAACCTGCATACCACCCAGAATACTCCACAACGATGACTGCGAAGTTCCATCGATTAGGACCTTCTCCGTATCCGTCTGGCTTTTGAAGTTCATGGCCAGCTCGAAGAATGCCCAACCCTCGTCGGGACCAATCTCAACGTCAGTGTTACTCGCCCGATTCTTGGGCGAGATCTTCAACACCTGTCGACTATCCCAGTTGATCGCATCACCCAAGGAAGTGACCACACCTGACATCTGTCCCATTGCGTGCAGGTATCCCCGCATCCCTGGCCTATCGGCCGTTGCAAACTTCTTGACCGACGGGACCGACGAAAGCCGCCGTCCTGAGCAACACCTAACGATTTCCTCCCTGTTCCTCCCCTCGTCTGCTGGATGAACCGTCTTCCACTCCGGCCAGGATTTCGGGTCTCCCACCCACATCCCGCTGCAAGGTCAAGCGGCCGGCTCCGTGCTGCTGTCCACGGGCAGTGCATTCCCGCCAACCTCGATGCTCTCCTCAAACGCGAAGGCAGCGTGGTAAGGTAGCAAGAAAGCAGGGTCCGTTGGAACCGCAGCGCATAAGATGGCCGCCAAGTGCACGGCGTTCATCTCTGTGACCTCCACTCCCCGGAGCTTCATTTCCGCCACTATCGCAGCAGTCCTGACCGCACGGTACCGGAGCAACTTTTCATGTTCCGGCCACGCCATGTGGGAGTTATCGAGCTTGTCCTTGCTGATGTGGGATACCCTGCCAACCAGTTCGGCGAACCTCGCGGCATGGTCGTCCTCAATCAGCTGATCAGCCCTCTCCATATCTGGATCAATCGTGGTGAACTTCGGTTCCCGTCCTTTAAACCCTTTAACTGTCCACTCGCGGTATCCCGCAAGCAAACAATCGGCTACAGCCTTCGGCTTCTCCATACCCAGCCCCATCGCCAGGTCCCAGGACGGCCGCGGAGGCGTCGCCATGCAGCGCCCCAGGCCCATTCCGCCAGCTGCCGCCATGCGTCAGCAGGTTCGGGCCACCGGCCACAGAACCACGGATGAACCGAAAACCCAGCCTACCGGCCAGAATTCCCCTGTTTCTCAGAAGGCTCAGCCTATCGGCCAGAGACCCTCTCCCTAGAACTAAAACCTCAAAGATAGAGAAATTGACAAAATCAGCCCTTCACGAAGCAGAAGAAAACCTTAGTGACAGGCATATCTGCCTCATGCTTTCATTCTGGTCAGTGAGCGCATTGAGCTGCCTGTGAATGTGGTGCGGTTGCCCGCGGGTGAGCCAGCTTGATCAAGCAAATGCTACGCGGCAACGAAGTTATTCAACCACTTCCCAACAGCAAGCGATCGGTCGTGCTGAGAAAGGGTATCCCCTCCTCGCATCTTGCAAGTGCTCCAAAACGAATTGAATGACTAAGAAGAGAAGCACCTAAACACGACACCATGTCTCTTGAGTCCACACTGGCATGCGCAAACAGACCTGCAATCGAATCCATGCGTGGTGGCAATTCCTTCAACCTCACCTTCCTTCAAGATGTCACATCTAGGTCGATAGAGGATGATAGGGACACACCCACAGGTTCGAGCATCGCAAGCTAAATTGAACCTTTGCCTAACGGCAACTTCGGTCCTATCCCTAAGCGTTCTGGTCTGTCCCCACTTCCCAGTCCTGGAATCAACCCTATCGGGTGCAAGATCGTTAAGAACAAGCACAACATAACAAAGGCGATCGCCTTCAATCCTACCAGATCGTATGATGTGGTTCCTGTATCCAGGAGCAATTTGAAGCGTGACAACCCTGCAGAGATCACCATAAGCAAGAA